TGTTATTGGTCTCTCTTTCCATTTGTTCATATTAGATTCCAGAATACAAACGTTGTTTTAATCAATATTGTGGTTTTTGTCCCATGCATGAGCAGCTATAGACGAATTATTTTTTAAATTCATTATAATAAAGGTTTTTTTATTTTCCAATGAATGAAAAACAAAACGACATTGGTTTTACTGACGTTTCGCTATTTAATGCTAATAGCTTTATCAAAGTATTATTAAACCGCAATATACAAAATCTTAGCATATATATATATATATAACAAAGAGTTAAGGGGTGAGAAAAATAGCGAAACGTCAGTAAAAACAATATTGCTTTGTTTTTCATTCATTGGGAAATACAAAAATCTTTATTATAATGAATATCATATACCCAATGCCCAAATTTTTTCAAACCGTTAAAAGTGAACTTGGTTTGGACATATATATTTTTTAAATTGTTGTAAGCATGTGTTCCTGTGGGATGACCTTTAGTTAGGCCGTTTATGTTCATTGACTCTCATTTTTATTGATCTGGATGTTTGGCCCACATATCTAATCGGACACTCTGTACAAGGTATTTTGTAAATTACATTAGTTTTATGCATTATTTTTATTGGATCTTTCGGTTGATTTATTTTATTTTTAACTAGATGTGGTGCGAATCCCAATATTTTTGAGGTTTCTTCGAATTGCTTCTGATGTACCATTTTTGTATGGTATTGTGCGTCGGTGGCACAGTGGTTAGGACTCTCGCCGACCATGCACATGGTCCGGGGTTCGAGCCCGCACCGACGCACATCTGATATCTATGGTCGGCCTGCAAAATTTGAGCTACCGATATCCATGCTGAAAATTCCATACTTGTACCAAAAATACAGTGTGGAATCAAGCTGTAAATCAAAAAAAAAAAAATAAAAAATAAAAAAAATTGTTTGTCTGCCATTCTCCCTCTTGTCATTCTCTGGTTTAACCCTCTTTTTTCTCTTCGTTATATTGTTTTTGATAAATTTTTTTGGGTAGTTGTTGTCGAGTAACATTTTTAATAGGACGTTTATTTCTTTTCGCTCAATCAATCTGACCATAAGCAAGCTATCATTGACTAACTAAAAGCAGCCCTCTTTGATATAGCTTATTACTTCGGGAAGGCAAATGTCTCCTTAAATATTGCTGGTTATCCAGTATGGCTGGACAGCGTTCTTCTCTTGAACATTACTGAAGAGCTCCACGGTCTACTTGTTAAGACAACTACTTTAGATACCAATCAGTTGCATACTACACACCTGCTAAGTGAAAACTTGTGACACTTAGCACTTTGTAATGAGAAAGCGGTATTTTCTCAGACAACTGCATTTCTTTTTATTTTATTTCTTTACTGATAGGAAGTAACTGACTGCAGGTTATAAAAGATGAACAATAGTCTGATCTACAGTTTCGCTTCAAAATTCTTTTGTCACTCAATAGAACAATCAGAAAACGCTACTATTGAACAGTTCAATTCGAAGTTGTAGCAGATAGGAATTCAAACAGAAGCTTATCAAAGTATCATATTATCAATGCTTGCAGGAATGAAATGTTTGATCTGTCAGCTACTTTTGGAAACAATACAATATTCACAGTGGTTTGAGCCGTGTAGAGTGCCTGACTGTGGAGCCTTTGAGTTGCCACGATCCATGACTCAAAGTTGTTGTCAATGGTGCATATACATTCGCACTTTGTCATCCGCCATACCTATTGAAACCTTATGTTTTTCCATGTTAATATTCATTCTGTTGCATAGTTTCTGCGCATTATAGTTCTTTTGAATCTCTTTTTCTGTAACACTGTGAGCTACATGGAGTGTAACAAATTGAACTGCTGCACTTCTGTACCAAGTTCCATGTTAGAATGCCAGTCATTCAGCATATGATGGCTTTAAATTTGGTATCATTCTTATCGGGCAATTATCGATAAAGTCATATACAGAATTTCATCATGAGCTGACTTCGGTTAGAGTACCATTGGAGAACCTGGGAGTACTGGACAGCTGTTTGGTCCTAGTTTGGGACTCTCAAGCAGTCCCCACCCACCGGGGTTTTCCAATGGTTCTCTAACCGATGTCAGCTTATGATGAAATCCTGTAACCAATCAGTCAAATCCCTACAAACCAATACTTGAAAGTCATATGCAATAGTGAGCAATCATTCTCATTAACAAAAGAATGCAACAAGTTTTGAAATTTCTACAACAAACAAGTATAAATATACAGTGAATTGTACAAATTCTTCCTCTGCATACTATTTTATTGTAGTCTTTGATGGATTATTTGCTATAAATGAATACTGTATTAAAATTATTCTATTGTACAAAATGGGGTCAGTCGTTCCTTCAATGGCGGAATACTCGGCAGCTACGCGGGATGTCCAGGCTTGATTCCCAGCCGACGCATATCCAAGTCTTGCTTAGTTTAATAGCCGGTAGTAAGCCCCGAAAAGAGTGAAGGTTGGACTTGTAATCCGGCCCAGCAGAAATTACCACCTATTCCTTGAATTTCGATGCTCAGACTTGGAGACCTATAGTCCACTCAGAACGAACAAAACAGGTTGTTACGTTAGTCATAATTTTTTGTCACTAGAGATGACAACGCCAGGTGAGGAATCACTTGGTTTTCTGCTTTCAATTCCACAGGGGATTCTGTGCATATTTTCGTACTTCACATGAGCAATGAACACTTAGGCATATGGTCAGAAGGGATGATTGATCAATCAGTTAAATTCACTGATTTCACCTTTTTACAGGTAGGCCCCGAGTTCGAATCCGGTCTCAACTACTTATGTTGTAGCGAGTGACCGTGTCTCATAGACCCTGGTGAACAACTGCTATTCTAACTAAATGATTTTGTTCATGCAACATGGGGTCCTCTAAATTCCATTGTCACCATTTATGAATGACAACGTTTTGCTACTTGAATTACACAATAGCTAGGATTGAACTCCTCATGTTACGAATAAAAAAGTGTAGTCATTTGGTTTATTCAATGAACGACATATTCCCATAATGAGTCATAAGAAAAAGACGAAAACAGTGAGGAAAATTTTCTTTTCTTCGATTCATTTGCATAAGACCAATTAGATGCTGGTGAAATTTGTCCTCGAAAAATGTACGTATTACGCAATGTAAGGTGTAACTTAGATGGGGTGATTAATTACGTTACCTAATACGTTTTTCGAGGACGAATTTTGCTAGCATCTAATTGGGCTAATGACTAAAATTACGACTGTACAGCCTATGAAAATTAGTCATCGGAAAGAAGACTTTCTTCGCTGTTTACATCTTTTTCTCGCTTGCTTTATTGTGTACGACACAGAATACTTTTGTTGCTCGAAGTGATTCCGCTAGTAAAAAAAGTCAAACCCACTAACTCGAAGTACATTTTTCCCATGTAACAGGCTATATGGCACATTTATGTGACAGCTAAGGATAAGACATCAGTAACTCAGGCTGAAGTAGGTGGTACGGACAGTCGAACCCGGAACATATTGACTGGGAGTCGAATGCTTGCGACGGTAAGGTGTGTTCACTATTTCCACATAGACGCAGAAGGACCAAAGGTACAAAAGCAAAACCATTATATTCTTGATATAAGTATACGACGAGAATCAACGTTAGACGTTGCACAAATGGTATCAAAGTCAAGTCATCACATTTCGAGAAGGCATACATTAAGAAAGAATTGATAACTGCTATTATGACCTGAGGATAAGCCTCTTAGAACACAAAGAGCTATAAACGGGTTGTTTCTGGAGGCACTACTATTAATAAGCCGGCCGGGTAGCAGTTAGATGAAACAGTTATAATCAAATTACTACACAACATACAGTGAGGTTATAATACAAGACGGTAACAGGGCATCTCCCTCGGAAGACCGGTGTAAAAAGAATATGTCTCTGACTAAATATCTATATCAGTCCGTCGCCACAAGTAGGTAGTTTACTATTCATTATGTGCCTTGATAGCTATAATTAGTTTCTGGATTCTGTTTTTCTATTGTACATAATTCAGGAAGAGACCAACTGTTCTTCATTCGGGTAGCAGCAACAAAAGTGTCAAAGCTCCGACATCAAATATCTTTCAAGAAAAAGTGAGAAGCCGAACTAATTAAATCATAGTGCAACACGTAATTTACCCGTTACACACACCTGAGTACAAATAAAATGTGTAGGTTGTTTTTAGAGGAAATATGTATATTAAAAGATGAAAATATGACAACAAAGAAGTCAGTCCACCAAACCCTTGTAAACAAACATACAGACACCCACATCACAGGTGATAAAAACCACAAAATGAAAAACTGAGAGGAGGTCGACGGATGAAATGAAAGAAGGAAAATACATTGGAAACAAGTATAGAAAAGAAAGAAACATACAATTTTGGTTTAAAACTATAATAATAATAATGGTAATAAAACTGAACATTTGAAAAAAGAAAATGTATGCGTGAACAGATTCACTAAACAGGAAATCCATCATAATCATAATGTGTAGATACATGTGGATACGATGAGACAAAACTGTTAAGAATAGTTATAACGATAAGAATAATATAAAGGAATGAGGAGAAAGGAATATTTAAATTTATACATTGAAAATTGTCAGAAAACCGACTTAGTTATTACAGTAAGACGAAAGAATATTATGTATATCAACACTGACAATGGTCTCACAAACGTGTACTTATCCATTTCACCTACATACAAGAAAAACAGACGCACACATGGGAGGAGATGGGGGGAATCGGTAACCAGATGAGAATAAACACCGCAAATATGAAATTTTAGATTAATGAGAAAGAAAAATGTAGATATAATCGTAATATGAAATCAAATCAATTTTAAATGCATATCTTCTATAAGTATATGCGAGAGAATACACACCCGCGTGTGACTGTGATGATGAAAACAAGATGAAAAGGAATTATTAACTCGTATATAGATGTATATGCGTGTGTGCAGCTGGGTGTATGTAAAACATTTCAATCTAAACAATTGCTGTTGACGAACTTGATGACGTACGTGTAGATCGGGTAGACGCAGCAGAATTAATAGTTAACTGATGATCTGATTGTTTCATCATAGTATAACCACAAACTTCATTGACAGAACAATTATCATTATTATTAGTAGTAGTGGTAGTAGTAGGTACAACAGGCGGCGTGGATGTAGGCCCACCAATAGCTGATTTCATTTTGGATCGACTAACTGGAGTAGTATTCAAGCTACTACTGGACGATGTTGGTGCTACCTCATGTTCAGTTGACGGAGACGATGGGATTTTGTTCAATGAACTGGCTGGAAAATTTAACAAATTAAAATAAATACAGCATATTTAGACCAACCAAATTTTGAAAATATATTTTAAAGACATAATTAAATCTTTCAGATAAAGGATAATGATCAAAAAAATCTTTGATGATAGAAAGCTTGAGTTAGGTGTGAAATAAAAAAGCGGTTTGATCTGCATAAAAGGTGAACAATAAATGACATTAACGACTAATGAATCCCGCAAGATACTGGTCAAACAAATTAAGGACACTAAAGTCTATCTTGGGATTCATTTTTAGGCTAATCTGAATTTCCTGTTGATTAATATTATTGGACAGAAATGCTCAGTCGCTGTTGCCATGATGACTGATAGTCGTTTCACAAGGGATGGTTCTTTTGGCCTAGTAGGTAATGATTTGGCGTGGATATACAGTTCGGGTTTCAGTGAGAAGAACGTCACTCAATGGGTCTAAAGTAGGACGGAATACGCATCCTGGATTCCATGGCTAATTATCATCGACTAAAATTAAAAGAGACACCTTCTTCACCAATTATCTGAATTTCGTCCGATGGCTTGAAAATTTAGAAAGTGACATGTCCACTCGATTAGTTAAAAACCTTATTACAGTTTTCGTAGTCATAAGGAATTGAGATATTCGTGTCTGTGAAAAGTTTGTACATTGTGGAATAGATTAAAATAATTATATTTATATTTCAATAGTTTACATACTACTGAAGTATAAATATAATCTCAACTAAGGTATATCCATTCTTCAATGAAGACTATTCATCACATCAGTCTATTCAGTTATGTTTGATAATTGGCAGAGATAAATAATTCGTAGTGTACCTGTATATCGAACGTATTACTAACGAAGCACTCACGTTATTAAAAAAGGCCTCATTGATTAGCGATGGTTGCTAATTAGTCTACTTGTCATTGTTTGTTTACCAGACAGCAGTATTCTCTATTTTGGTATATGCTAGCTAACATGGATACTGAAGGTAGAGATGATCTGAGAATGCTCCCGGGGTACTTTACAATCTTTGTTTCTCAGATTTTATCAAACTACCCAGACAAGTGATATGGTTACAGACAACAATGTTAAGGCAATGAAATTTGTAGTCCTCTGTTAACACAGGTGGTTAAAACATGTTTATTTGACCTGACCACACTACTTACCTACCTCAACAGTATAAAGTAGGTTGAGCAAAGTTGAAGGATGGTCAGATGAAGACTATTATTTCATGAAGGCTGACTAAATTACTTAACTTCTTTGCTTGTCTACTTCTTTTGCATCATGTGCAGATGGACGTTGCAAAATAACATACGAAAAGAGTAATCCTAAACTCTACTTCAATGATATCTGTCTGTATTGGACTTACATTTTATCTTATTGGGGTTGTATGAGTATATATTATTTGTGGAACACTGTACAATTCCATACACTGCTAGCCATCAACGTTTAGTTAAGATTATACAATATCGGATTGTTTAAAAGCGATAAGGTCATTAAAGTGATTTTTTTTCAAATTAACTACGGGTAACCTACCATCACTGTCTACTAATGATCCTTTGAGACGACCAAGAGGTGAATCGGTATCATCACAATTTGTTGAAACTGCTTTCACCTTTTGTCCTCCACTGGATATATCTAACTGACAGTTAGATGTCAAAAGTACAGCATCATTATCTGGTGCAATAGGATGAAATTTATTTGTAATAGGATTAGCATCACTATTAGATGTTGTCATTGTTGGTGTCGGTGTTACTGTTGACGACGAGGGCATAACAGGCATATCACTAACATTTTGCATATACGATTCAGCGAGAATTTCTTGTTCCGTAGCTAAACAATCCATAAAATCACTAGGCAAAATTCAAGAGAGAGAAAACGTCAAGTGTATTAGAGATGCATAGTTGAGATGACATTTGTATAGAAAAATTAGTTCAAAGGTGTCATTCGGTTTCTTTTCATTTATCTGAAGTTTTGATGAGAAGTTGTGACCACTGGGATTCACACACTAAGGTTAGATGCGAAGGAAGGCAGACATTCGCCGAAAACTTTGGCTGACGATGACGGGCGATATATGTCATGAATGCGTAGAAGTTAGAATTCATGAGCTATTTGATTCTAATTCACTCGATGAACGGTCACCGAGCTTTAACACTGCTCACTAGACAAGACTCCATGAATCGACGATGTAAGTGCAATCTTGAAGACACAACACTATGCGAACAGATGAAAATGACACTGAGATAGAAAGAGCGAAAAAAATCTACAGCGAATTTTTATTCCTTTAAACAGAAGACCACATCAAAGGTCACAAGACTGTATTTAGAAGCAAAAAATACAAATTTAAATCTATCCACTGCAGACTGACAAAACGCGTGAAATGCACTGTCATACAACAACCGATTGGCATTTCTATGCAGTTGACAATGACCTGCATCCATTTTTCCTGCGTGAGAGCTATGACACCATCAGGCTGATCCTCTTTCTTCAGTACTTGGAAGTTGAGCTTCGCACGGAGAAAATGAAGAGAAATATACGGTTGAAGGTTATAAAATTTCATTAACATCGAATAGGGTATTGAACGATAGTGAGACAAGAAACAAGATAGAGCGAAAACTACATATTATATTCAAGTGATGGTTATTATTATATATATTATATATTTTACTGTTTCTGTGGTACTATCCATAAAAGTACACCAATGAGTTTTAACAGTATTCTCCGCCCCCACATTATCTCAAAGCTTACCATTACACCATGTGTATTCACTCCACCTAATTTCATTAACGTCAACTACTTAACTCGCTTTCAAAGTGGTCCAAAGTCAACAAAACGAAAGGACAGATAGGCGTGCAGCCAGAAACGCGACACCACTAAAGCCAACAAGCGGCTCGAGAAGCCATAACGTCCAAAAACTTTCTTGATACCACAAAACAATTCACATAGAAACCTTATTATTAGCCGGAATTGGAGAGTCGAAGTGACACAGCGGGCTGGTGAAAGCCTTCGCGAAGCCGGTCAGCCGATGTGTCTTCTCTCGACTAAAGCAATAGTAAGAATGAGTACGTGGAATGTCCGTACAATGTACGAGACTGGGAAGGTTGCCCAGGTAGCCAAAGAGAAGCGAAGATATGACTTAGAAGTACTGGGTATCTGCGAAAGCAGATAGAATGGATGTGGATTGACAATATTGTCAACTGGAGTCAATAATCTACGCCCATCACTCAGACGACAAAAGACGAACACAGTGAAGGAGTGGCTGACATGATATCACCAGTGGCAGCCAAAGCCCTAATGCAGTGAGAACCAATCTCCTCCTGCAGGATTCAATTCGAACGGAAGGAAGGTTACAACTGTCAAATGCTACTCGCCTACAAACAAATAAGAACAAGAAAGGGGAGATGTTTATAGACAACTACAAAGAGTATTGGACAACACCGCAAATGGTGACATCAAAATCCTTATGGGATATAAAGGCCAAACTGGAAGCAGACAGTACAGGAAGAGAATTCATAGAGGGTCGAGAGGCTCTGAGGTGAAATGAATAACAACGCAGAACTCTTCTCAGATTTCATCTCAATCTCAAGGAAGTGGAGACGCAGCTAGCCTGCTGGATACAAAGTCAAGAAGGGGAGCAGATGTGGGCCCAGATCATTATCTAGTTCAAGAAACCTTCAAGGTGAAGCTGAAATCCTTCAGAACAACGAGAGATAGACCTCAATTCAAGTTCAACACTCAGAAACTGAAAGACAAAACTATAAAGGACACCTTCATTGCAGCCATAAGAACAAAGTCGGAGACATTAGGTGAGGAAACCTGCGTGGAAAAACATCGGAACTCTCTGAAGGTAATGCTCAAGGAAACGTGTACAACTGTCCTAGGAAGAAAGAAAAGGAATGGCTCCCTATGGATACCTGACAGCTAATAGAAGAGAGGAGAATGGTGGAAGAGAAGATGACTCAATGCAAAGATGGACAACAGAAGGAGAAGCTGAGTTCAATGTACATCGCACCGAATAAAGAAGTGAAGAAGAGTGCTCGGAGAGACAGAAGACACACTGGAAACTGAAGCAGAACAGGCTGTGGATAAAAGAGACCTCAGAACATTATACCAGATAACCAGTTCTCTATCGAAGAAGAAATTAACACCGTCAAAACCTATAAAAGATGTTAAGGGAACCTAATTGCCAAGGAGGAGAAACAGATAAAACAATGGGCTGACCATTTCTCTCTATCTATTTTCAGCATAAAACTTTGCACGGATGTGAAGCAGTTCAAGTCGCCACACTCCATATAGCACACAAACCAAGAGAAGAAAGTAGAAGAAATGCATAATTAAGACAAAGGAATAGTAATAATGAAGAACAATATAGTTTCATTGGAAATCCTAAGTCACAGGGAGTGACTTGAATCGACCATCCCCTACAGAAACAAAGCGAAAGTAGGCAGAGAGGTGCCTATCAGTGGACAGCAATCGTCCAATGAAAGGAGAAATCTTGAATGCGATCATATCATACCTTGATATAATTATGAGCAATAAATTGTGCTCGAAACGTCATCAATAAGCATTACTGTATAACACTGAGACTTTATCAAAACAAAATTTACCCATAATGGAATTACACTCTACCACAGTGTACAAGTTTTATTTTTATATCAATGATCGCCTAGGATAGGTATAGTTAATGTCTATATATACAGGAGTGATGGTTCAGTTTGAATTGACTACACTCCTGATATTAGACAGTTAGTATGCTGATGCAGTGAAGAGACGACATACAGAAGGATGAGTAACAAGAAACTCAGACATCAAGGCAATTTTGAACATATCGCCCACCAAATATGCAGAGGGAAATGGAGATAGATTGGAGAGTGACATCACACGCTAAGCCTTGGAGTGGAAGCCGAGTGGAAAGCGACGTATTAGGTGTGGGTCTCACAGTGACATAGAAGAGATTATGAGAGGAAATGAAAGGGGATAAATAATAGACTGGTATTCTCGTGTCAATTTGAGATGACTACACTCTTGTGGCTAGACAGTTAATATGCTGATATATTGAACAGTCGACGTATTCGATCGACTGAACCTAATCACAAGCTGGGTGAAAAGTTCAGTTAGTCGACTGCCAAATCAGAAATTCCAAGCTTGTGTTACATTTCCCAACTTAACAGCCACAAAAGTTTCTACTACTTCATCAGTCATCATCATCAATGGGGGCACGAATGTTACAAGCATATGAATATAAAGGAGATAATGACTTCAATAACTGATTGATATACAAGCTAACTCACGTGATATTAGGATGTGATGATTTCTTTTTATCCCTTCGATATATTCGTGCAAATCCATCATGACGAGCTGTCTTCTTCCAAAGATAATAAAAATGTATCACTTCAGATACAGTTTTATGCCGTAGCTATTAATAATTATCATAAAATAAAACAATAATAAAGCTGTACTTTAAACAATATGTTAACATATATTACAGAAATTTTTAGAGTATTTAGTTCCAAAATATTCGCTATAAATATAGGATTTACTCATGAAGTAATAATAATTATAATAAAAAGAGGACCAATTCTGCAAGTTATTTTTTCATTTCTTTCAGGAATTGCAAAGCGTCTAGTTGGAAACCAAATAAATAGGAGCGCGAGTTCATGTAGCATTAATCATGATATTATTCCACGATTAAAAAAATGAGAAATGCATAAGAGTTTGAGCAATTCTGGTAGCCCAGTGATTTTAACAGGCCACTGTTATGATGCCAAAATTAAATCCTAACCAAAGACTGGACAGAAGTTAAACTCTAGACAAATGGCAGGGACCAATGCATCACTGACTTTAAAACGCGGTGACAGAGAAAGCCAGTGAAACCATATGAACAATACTATAATCATGAAGAAAAGTGTTGAAAAAAGTGTATTGAAATTTCCGTTTGTAAAAGTTCTCCATATTTTGTTGCTGTTATCATACTTTTATGCTTCCTATATGGCTTTACTGATGTCCACCCACTGTCTCCCATCTCCTCGTCCACTCAAGGGAAGACCAAGCGACTGTTGTCAATCGACAGTTTCGTTAGCGAGTCCCTCCCCCCTACATTTCCACCGGGAAATTTGCCAAGCCAACCTTCCTTCATTGGTCTTCCTGATATCCCTTTCTGGCAATCAGGTCAACAATACATAAACATAGTGTAAAACCAGTTGTTCATAAAAGTCAGAAACTTATTGGAGGTCCTTACAGCGACAAACAATACAACCATTTCATCCTCATAGGAGAAATGACTAACTTAGTGTTGATGTTGAGAATCCAAATCTAGTTGTTTTTTCTGATTCCAGAAGATTTCCAAACTGAATTCAGGGTGATGAAGGTCTACCTTGCCTTTCCCACTCTGCTTTTGACAACCTCATCCGTTCCCCCTGTAGTTTAAATAATGCTGCCTGGACAAATGAATGGAGTGACCTCTGCCAAATCTCTCCCTTTTATGGTGATTGTTGCTAATCGTTGTTGTTACTGTTAGTTGGTTAGGCATCTTCATCACCTGCGTCTTCTCCATGTTCACCTGAAGTCCTGTCATCTCTGTCTGCTTCTTCTCCCAGCTTGTTGGTTTTCGCCTGTAAGTCTTCGAGTTTTTATGACACTAGACATAAATCATCCGTGAAATCCAGATCTTCGAGAGTCTTCTTGTCGGTCCAACGTACTCCTATCTCCACGATTCCCGTAGTCTTACACATAAACCAGTCCACCACAATTAGGAATGTAATCGATGATAATAGGCAGACAGTCTTGTCTTACTCCTATCTTCACTTCAAAGCCTTCGCTGAGTTTTCCACTGTGCACAACCTGACACGTGGTTGAATGAGGTTGATAAAGATTTAAGTGCCGCACGCCATAGTGTTGAAGTAGTTTCCAAATTGCTTCACGACCAACACTGTCGAAAGCTTTTCCAAAGTCAGTGAAGTTGAGGTAGAGATTTGACTGTCATTCTATCCCCTGTTCAATGTTGATGTGTAGAACTACAATTTGATCAGCACATGATTTCCGTTTTCTGATGCCAGCTTGTTCGGGTTGGCGGAGTTCTGTATCCAGTGCATATATTATTCTCTCCAGGATAACACGACTTAGTATTTTACTTGGCGTGGAGAAGAGCATTATTCCACGCCAGTACTCGCACAGGCCTAAGTCTCCCTTCTTTGGTAGCTTGACGAGGTAGCCTTTCTTCCAATCGGTAGGTACCTTTCCTTCTTTCCAAAGCTTTTTCAATAGTGGCGTGAGCGCATATGCCACAGTCTCTGGGTCCGTTTTCAGTGCTTCTGGGGTAATTCATTCTGGTCCTGCTGCCTTCCCAGACTTCAGTAGCTTGATCGCATTCAAGATTTCTGCTTTCATTGGACGATTGCTGTCTACTGATAGACAGCTCTTTGCGTGCTTTTGCTTTCTTTCTGTAGGGGATGGTCGATTCAAGAATTCTTTGAAATGATCAGCCCATTGTTTTATCTGTTTCTCCTCTTTGGCAATTAGGTTCCCTTAACATCTTTTATAGGTTTTGACGGTGTTAATTTCTTCTTCGATAGAGAACTGGTTATCTGGTATAATGTTCTGAGGTCTCTTTTATCCACAGCCTGTTCTGCTTCAGTTTCCAGTGTGTCTTCTGTCTCTCCGAGCACTCTTCTTCACTTCTTTATTCGGTGCGATGTACATTGAACTCAGCTTCTCCTTCTGTTGTCCATCTTTGCATTGAGTCATCTTCTCTTCCACCATTCTCCTCTCTTCTATTAGCTGTCAGGTATCCATAGGGAGCCATTCCTTTTCTTTCTTCCTAGGACAGTTGTACACGTTTCCTTGAGCATTACCTTCAGAGAGTTCCGATGTTTTTCCACGCAGGTTTCCTCACCTAATGTCTCCGACTTTGTTCTTATGGCTGCAATGAAGGTGTCCTTTATAGTTTTGTCTTTCAGTTTCTGAGTGTTGAACTTGAATTGAGGTCTATCTCTCGTTGTTCTGAAGGATTTCAGCTTCACCTTGAAGGTTTCTTGAACTAGATAATGATCTGGGCCCACATCTGCTCCCCTTCTTGACTTTGTATCCAGCAGGCTAGCTGCGTCTCCACTTCCTTGAGATTGAGATGAAATCTGAGAAGAGTTCTGCGTTGTTATTCATTTCACCTCAGAGCCTCTCGACCCTCTATGAATTCTCTTCCTGTACTGTCTGCTTCCAGTTTGGCCTTTATATCCCATAAGGATTTTGATGTCACCATTTGCGGTGTTGTCCAATACTCTTTGTAGTTGTCTATAAACATCTCCCCTTTCTTGTTCTTATTTGTTTGTAGGCGAGTAGCATTTGACAGTTGTAACCTTCCTTCCTTTCGAATTGAATCCTGCAGGAGGAGATTGGTTCTCACTGCATTAGGGCTTTGGCTGCCACTGGTGATATCATGTCAGCCACTCCTTCACTGTGTTCGTCTTTTGTCGTCTGAGTGATGGGCGTAGATTATTGACTCCAGTTGACAATATTGTCAATCCACATCCATTCTATCTGCTTTCGCAGATACCCAGTACTTCTAAGTCATATCTTCGCTTCTCTTTGGCTACCTGGGCAACCTTCCCAGTCTCGTACATTGTACGGACATTCCACGTACTCATTCTTACTATTGCTTTAGTCGAGAGAAGACACATCGGCTGACCGGCTTTGCGAAGGCTTTCACCAGCCCACTGTGTCACTTCGACTCTCCAATTTCGGAAAAGAGTAAGATTACTGTCTGAATTTTCGGTATTTTTAAAATACTTTTGTTCAATGAAGTTCCTGTAACAGTTTTGATGATCTATCGGGGTAGGGTCGCTAGTCCTATACCCCATCCCCGCTTTCCTCGGACTTGGTGCCCGCTATTAAACTATCGAAATTGTAAGCTGTTTGGGGTTAACCACCACCAATGAAGTATCAATTCGCCTATTCATATTTAATTGGAAATTATTTGAACACACAGGCGTGACCGATTTTCTAATTCGTCCCCAGAACATACATTGATTCAGAAGGTGGAGTTGCTAGCCTTAAATGGAACATAAGGAAGTGAACAAGTGGCGCACAACGGAAGTTGGATCATTTGACTTTTTATTAGATGTTATAATATGAATTTTTCTATCTAAGCGTTTACTGTATTTACGTTTATTTTCCGAACAATACAGAGAAAACTTTGAGAGAACTGTACTTGATGTAAAAAAATTGTTAGATTCAACAGTATTTGAACAACTCAATACTTAATCCTGTTTGCTTTGTTTTTTTTATAACATTATTAAGTCATTCATTAGGACGAAAGTCCGGATAACCGCCACATGCTTTCTTAACATTAATATCCCAAACCTCTTGAAGTAGAAATCAAGCACAGTTTTGCAGTATGCTATCTCCAAACCCCATCCTTCCAAAAGCTGTAATCCAATATGTCACATGTGACCAAGATCACGCGAAACGAGCTATATCTTTTGCCCGTAACTTCATCAAAAGGTACCCAAAAGAATAGTGTGACTCAAATATTCAATCAGTTCATTTAGGCAAACCTTGAAAGAATATTAACAGTTTGAACCAGATCTATGATAACATGTACAAAGAGTAAGCCGATCTTAAATTACTCGTCCAAACTTTTTACATGCATATATACAATAAAAGTTGAGCACACAAAACACAATGCTTACACGAGTGTCACGTATTTGTCTAAAATCTTTTCCATACAAAGCGAAACTTTTCTCAAACGCAGTACAATCAGCTTCTGACCATGATTCTAAATAACCAGGTACTTCTGTAAACGAAATAGGGAGTATACAGTCAAAAATTGTAGAATGTCATTAGGCAAAGAGAGAAATGGGATATTAAATTAGGATGAAAAAGATTAGTGTACGTCGGTGGCACAGTGGTTAGGACTCTCGCCGATCATGCACATGGTCCGGGGTTCGAGCCCACGCCGACGCACACTTGATATCTATGGTCGGCCTGCGAATTTTGGGCTACCGATATCCACGCTGAAAATTCCACACTTGTACCAAAAATACGGTGTGGAATCAAGCTGTAATCAAAAAATAAAAATAAAATTTAGAGAATTGAAATGAATTCGAAGAGATAAGTCCCACAAACGGCGCGCAGTGGTAGGTTGAGTTTGTTATGTTGAAGTCATTATGAAGATAACGGAAAGAAGTCCTGTCAGGATTTGATATACAAATTTCAGTAGGGATCAAAACAGTTGTCAAGACAACTCATCTGAAAAATCCAAAAGCGTTTCAATCTTCCAATCTAAGGATACTCCATGAAAAAGCGACAACAAGTCTTAATATTACTTATTCTAATTTCTGCTCAGTGGAACACAGGGTTTCAAGCTTGAATTTTGTAGTTTTACTAATGGTTTACTAAGTGGAATTACTGGCTTCACACTCAACCTTCGCTCTTTTCCGTGATTTTTGCCAACTAGAGGAAGTTAAGGAATGGGTCGGCGGAGAATCGAATCCGGGTCAAGTGTGTGGTTAGCGAGCACTTTACTACTGAGACACCGAGGCATATATTACTCATTGCTCAGACAAAACTACAATCTGCTGAATCCACGAAAGTAAGAAGATATGTCAGTCTGTAATTCAAATTAATACGATAACGTGGAGCAGACTAGCGATATATACTCAAATCAATTAAAAATTAGGACGTTTTTCAAGTCTATTGGTGATCAATGATCCTACCCATTCCATTTTCAAGAAGACAGTCATTGATTTAGAATACAATTTACGTAACCGTTGAGTAGTCATGCAGTCAAGAAGAGGTAGTATTGTTCAATCATATATGTCACATAGTTTACTGCGCATACGCATAACAAGAGATCTTCCGAGTTGTATCCCGTGAGCAATACATTGCCATATCCCAACAGTTTACTGACCTGTATGTAAAACTTACCATATCTCTACTTCTAGCTGATAGTAAAGAAGACAAGTGCTGAAATGTATCAACAGCGCTGAAGCTCACTTTTTTCCAGAGATTATCTCAAAATGAACAACACCACTGGTAAACGACAACGCATCATGCATTTGAGAACGGTGACCTTCTCACCTGATACTGCTTAGAGAAACTACAACATTTATATACATCTCGTCATTAGACATTCTAATTTTTAATGTAACCAAGTGACAAAAATATCTTAAATGCCTCTTATAATCGGTAGACGGGTCTTTACCAAAATTTACACCAAGTAATACACTCCTATTCACTTTTGGTTGAAATCGAAACGCAATCTTTAAGTAAGCTGGGTGGAAGAGCCACACACTAATTGCGTGATTCCTGACAACACTGTCATCCAGTTACCTAGTATGAAGTAAGTGAAGCCAGATTCAAAGTCAGAAACTAATAGTTGAAGGCTGGGAATTACAGTGAATGAATTATATTTCCACTAACAATGATGTCAGCAGTGTGACTCGAACCCATGTTCCCTGAGAAGGGTTGTCATTTTGATTTTAGGTCAATTTTGTACTTCCCCTTGATTGATTAAATTGGACCGAAATGCTCCCTCTGTGTTGACATGTCGGCTCCTAGTACTGATGTTTTTAGACGATATTTGAGAATTAACCTGGTGTTGTTTTGGTTGATGATGACTAGTGGTGGAATCCAGGATGAGCACTTCGTCCTATTTGGCTTTTATTGCCATAAACCTTCGTCATTTGTAACAGTGGGTTCGGGAATGCAGGTATGCCCAGTCAACGAGTTCCAAACAGGACAAAATGAGCACCCTGTATTCCACTGCTAGTCAGTACCAACCAAAATGAGACAGATTTCATTCATAGCATTTACTTAAAATATTTTATGAAAACAGACTAATTTATGAGTACATAAATAAATCAATGAAAGATAAAAATAACTTTTCAAAAAGTCATGAGAAACTGCAGTATAATTTCTCAGTCATATAAACCGGTTAATATACACATCCTACACGGTATTTATGCAAAAGGCATTTTTATTCAAGTCATTTATCACAGATTCATCTTTCATAACCACACCCAATAATACTAATAATAATGGATGGTGAATGAATTGGAAAAATTAATTCAAATCAATCCCCCCCCCCAATACGCTAGGTATATATAAAGGAAGATTGTTTTAATCACCTACGCATGCATGTGTGCGAGTATGGAAAGATGGAATTAAAAATTGATAGAAACTGTATAATCACGCCCTGTAAAGGTAAAAGATTGAATGAATAGGCAGTTTTTAACTACCTCCCACTTATAATTAGGTCGATTAATTACCTTTCAAAATGTTACTGACTGAATGATTACAACAGATAACTTTGCAGAGATGTATAGCAGTTCGAGTTGCCACGCTCTTTGTACCACACAAAGGAAGGCAAGAGAGAGAGAGAGTGAGAGAAAAGATATTCAAAAGAATGATAATAAACAGAAATGTGACGGAGAATCAGTAGTAACATGGAACAACCATAGGGTTTAATGGATATGCTAGATCACAAAGAGTGGGTGCATCTGCACCATTCAGAATGATTTCGAGTCATATCATCAGTAGTCTCCAGCTATTGATTCTTAATATCCCGACGACCTCAATCAAGAAGTTTGCACCTCCTTGCGTGGTTCAGACTAACTGTCAAATAATTCATGGACTGATTCCAAGTTTCGGTTTGATCACCACTAACTCTTTTCCAACATGATTCTATGTCATTTAACATTAGCCGTCGAGGGAGGTGATAGCTAGGCATAAGTATTACATGTCTTAACCATCTCAATCGATGTAATTTCACGCCTTCTGTTGACTTTTCCTCCTTACTTTAAACTCAACTCAAAAAATAACCAATCGAAATTAAAAGCTGAGTGAATACATCTTGAACAATAAGATTGCACAACTTTACAAAACAGAGATTATCTATCAACTTCTGGAGTAGCATATTTTAATGAGAAACTCTACTACATATCATTGGCTTGACAACCCGGTTAGCACTCAATGGGTCATGTGTTTGAATCGCGTTCCACCTACTTCTGCTTGGGTTGATACATGAAAAATCTGTTCAGGGTAATTTCATTTTAACAAAAAGAGATGAAATAAATGATTGTTTTACATCCTATTAAACTACCTTTTGTGAACCGAAAAAGTGACATCTTCCAGTACCCTCGTCCAATACGCATACTTTAGGGGAAAATAAGTGGGTCTAAAAGGTGAATTCAAATCGCACACAACTCAACTGCCTGATAGGTGCTGAAAATTCCATTCTGTATCACAAGTACTGTTTTTGGAATAAAGTAAACCACTATTATTATTATGTTTCATAATAGAACTTTGCACCGATTTGCAGCAGTTTGATTTGCCACACCCCATGTAGCACACAAAGCAAGAGAAGAAAGTAAAAAGAAATGCAAAAAAGGGAGAGTAAACGGAAACAGTAAACACAACTCAACTGTTAAGCAACGAGATATAGTTGCCTTATTTAACACAACTATTTCGCATAGCAGTTTTCCTCAAGCTTGAAAACATCTATAATTTTTTAACAATCAATGAACGAGTCACTTATCCAAGGAACTGGACATAAATAAGCCAGCATCTTATTCGGTAGCACTGATCAAGATTTGTCAGCCATCACAATGTCACCACTAGTCACACACGGCTGGCTGATGCGCTGCGAAATCCCACCTAGCTTACTAGCCAGTAGTGGGTCTTGAGAAGAATGGGAGTTTTGGTGTGAGGTTAGCATGCCCACCCTGTGAAAACATACAACACCATCATGCCACTGAAACTTCAAAGCTTTAAGCCCAATATCTCAATAGGAACACAAGAAATGAATGGAAAACATTGTTACCTGAGATAGAAAAGACGTGGTTACTTCAAAGTGCTTAAAATGCACAGGATTGTGGTCTTGGATATGAGTATAAAACTTGGGCACTGTTGTCTTGGAACCTGCCGTAATGCACTTACTTTTTCTGATCTATCCTCAGTCGACAAAACTTCATCACAATAAATTATTTATTATGATAAACAAAATATCCTTATCACCAGTTAACGTAAGGGAAACAAGTCATGGAGAAACGAAATAAAATCACACACACCTGTAGGTTGTACAGCTTTTAGTTGTAGACGTTGAAGCGCTTCTTCCACATCATAATCACAGAGCATTAGCAAGAATAAAGCCTAGAATATCATAAAATAATAACAACAATAATACTGATGACCGAAGACTGAAAACTAAAGGTTATGAGGAGATGAGATCATATTTCTTCCTTCACAAAAAATATTTATTCTCGGTGAGTGCTGACTAGAAGTGGAATGCACAGCGTGCTTTTTGCCCTATTTGTGACTTGTCAACTAGTGAATGTACCTACACACATTCCAATGAATGATCATGTTCCCACTGACACTCGAACCCGATACTCATCATTTCAAACGCCAACGAGTTCATTCATTAAGCCAGTTAGTTCACGAACACTTTTACTCCCTGGGGACTGCAGGTACTCCCAATTGACGAGTGCCATACAGAACGAAATGTAAATTCTAAATGCCACTGCAATTCACTATCCACCAAGCATTATCATATTAATCCTCAGATATCGTCAAAGCCGACATATCAAGAGATCGAACATTTCAATCTAATATACAAACACATAATTACCAAGTGTTGGTTTGCACGGATTTGATTGGTTACAAGTTTGATTACCAGCTGGCATCAGTTAAAGAATCACCGCGAAAACTGTAAGTTTGCAAGCAATGGGGTCTGCTAAATCAGGTAAGAAATCAGTTTCCCGCCGCCTATGACATTGGTTGGTGGTTGCGCTAAATATGTATACAAATACGACATCCAACAAGATAACTCGATGACTAGGAAGACATGATGTTTGTAGTTGAAGAGTAAAATCTCAAGTAAACCATGATAAAGAAAGTAGCTTTCAGATGGAACGAAAATCCACTAATCTGAAGTGTGTACAATGCCAGTATAGGCTGTCTAAGGTCATTGAGATTCAATGTTTGAAGACTTGATGATATAGTCGAAAAATACATTTCATAATGACGAAGGTATATTTATTTTTAATCTCTTTTCGATGTGCTGCTCCAAATAGTAGCAAAAATTAAACACTAGCAGTACTGTGTCAAGTGTGCACATGAATCTACCTGTTTGTCAGAGAAGTACTGATTCGCCACACCGCTATTCATACGTAGTCCACCTTAAAAATTTTTCCCGGTAACTATATAACAATTTACATTAATCTAGCTTTATTTCCTATTCATTTCATCTTAGGATCAAACAAACACAGACAGAGGGAAACATCAATACCTCTTTGGTTCAATATGAATTTTTGCACTAATAATAAAAAACTCCACACAAGGAGAAATAACCTCCAGGTCACTTTCACTACTGAAGGAACAAGTGTCATGTGTAATTTTGTTAACTCAAAAATATTCACAACGGAGCCAGTTTATGGGTTGGAGATCTGCACATTGACATTATGGGACAGAGGGGGATGTTAGGTTTATGTTTTTGGCAGGCCACATATGTGTGGTGACTGGGATCCCATGGGCTAAGTTGAATTTCTCTCTATTAGTTGCAAACATGTTTAAGAGTTTACTAGATTATTCACCACCTTATTTTGTAGTCTTCACATCGTATGAAGTGCAGTCTCTGGTAAATTTGTCATTGTTTCCAAGAATACATAATACTTTACTTTTGTATTCAATTTTTTCCATTAGAACTGCACCAGAACCTTTATCTGGTCTGAGGATAACGACGTCAGTGTTATGTTTTAGTTCTTTTGGAGCTCTAAAGTGCTCAGATGTTAGGATACTTTTCTGAATTATACGATCACTGCAGAACTGGTGATCAATGTCAGCTAACTTTACTTTGAACCAACCATGATGATCATCAGAAATGTTACCAATCTATTTTCCAAGTAAGTCAGCGTATCTATGTGATTCAGAAGCTTGGCCTGCGTCTCAAAAAGCATTTTGAACAGGTTATTCTAGACATATATCAACAACTGCCTCCGCTCCTCACCGAAGATCAGATGGAGAGGTAGAAAAGATTAGCAACCAGACACTCTGGCAATGAAATAAACAAGAACATTTTACCAAAAAAATATGCCGAACAGAATGAAGATGGATCAGTTGGAAGACTACAAAGTAAACAGCTGAGTGATACAACGCGCAAAGCTTCCGAGAGGAGACCGAATGAGAAACGACGAGATGGCCGTGGACCTAAGTATGACGTGGAGATGAGAGCTTATAGGCGACAGCTAAAGAGGGCTGCAAAAAACAGGGTGAAATGGAGATGTACTACAAAAAACTAGTGTTCCACTGGTGAGCCAAGGATATAATAACAATATAATATTTCGCTTTTGCTCTAGATGCTACTAGGCTAGTAATAAGTAGCAAAATTATCAATGGCAAAACAAAATTCAGTTACCTACCTCCTCATCATCTATCGTCCGGTCACTAGGCAGTGATGACATAATTGTTTCTGCGTATAATCTTTCATAACGGATTACATCTGCTTCGGAGAGTTTATCAACAGGTCGCCATACGAGACTTGACTGTTCAAAAACTCTTTCAGCTCTTGCATTAGCGGCACAACCGCTAAAATCATTGCCAGAGTAACTACTCACACATGTACTCCCGTTACGCAAATTTGATGATGTCGATGCCGATAATAGAAGAATGGGAACATTCACTTGATAATCATCACCAATTTTGATTTCCTATTAGAATTCCAAAAGCAGCAATTAAAACATGACCACAATAAGGAAAAGATTTCAAGTCAGTTGTGAACATAACTTGAAAAAAGGAGACGATAAATAACAAAGTGCTAACAATTTATCTAAAAGAACAAATAATGAATACCTATTTAGTCATAGTACATCAGCATAACGACAACATACGCATACCCTACATTCTATACCCAAAAAAAAACACTCACAATTCCCCAAATAACCCTACAACGCTGCCTAGTTTACAGGCTTCGCAGGTTTCCAGCCAGTACCCAGCTCAGTTAAAAAAGGAACGGACAGGTACGGAGCTAGAAACCCGACAACATTAAAGCTGGAGAAGTTACAACGTCCAAAAACATAGAAATCTTATTATTCGCCGGAAGTGGAGAGTCGAAGTGACACAGCGGGCTGGTGAAAGCCTTCGCGAAGCCGGTCAGCCGATGTGTCTTCTCTCGACTAAAGCAATAGTAAGAATGAGTACGTGGAATGTCCGTACAATGTACGAGACTGGGAAGGTTGCCCAGGTAGCCAAAGAGAAGCGAAGATATGACTTAGAAGTACTGGGTATCTGCGAAAGCAGATAGAATGGATGTGGATTGACAATATTGTCAACTGGAGTCAATAATCTACTCCCATCACTCAGACGACAAAAGACGAACACACTGAAGGAGTGGCTGACATGATATCACCAGTGGCAGCCAAAGCCCTAATGCAGTGAGAACCAATCTCCTCCTGCAGGATTCAATTCGAAAGGAAGGAAGGTTACAACTGTCAAATGCTACTCGCCTACAAACAAATAAGAACAAGAAAGGGGAGATGTTTATAGACAACTACAAAGAGTATTGGACAACACCGCAAATGGTGACATCAAAATCCTTATGGGATATAAAGGCCAAACTGGAAGCAGACAGTACAGGAAGAGAATTCATAGAGGGTCGAGAGGCTCTGAGGTGAAATGAATAACAACGCAGAACTCTTCTCAGATTTCATCTCAATCTCAAGGAAGTGGAGACGCAGCTAGCCTGCTGGATACAAAGTCAAGAAGGGGAGCAGATGTGGGCCCAGATCATTATCTAGTTCAAGAAACCTTCAAGGTGAAGCTGAAATCCTTCAGAACAACGAGAGATAGACCTCAATTCAAGTTCAACACTCAGAAACTGAAAGACAAAACTATAAAGGACACCTTCATTGCAGCCATAAGAACAAAGTCGGAGACATTAGGTGAGGAAACCTGCGTGGAAAAACATCGGAACTCTCTGAAGGTAATGCTCAAGGAAACGTGTACAACTGTCCTAGGAAGAAAGAAAAGGAATGGCTCCCTATGGATACCTGACAGCTAATAGAAGAGAGGAGAATGGTGGAAGAGAAGATGACTCAATGCAAAGATGGACAACAGAAGGAGAAGCTGAGTTCAATGTACATCGCACCGAATAAAGAAGTGAAGAAGAGTGCTCGGAGAGACAGAAGACACACTGGAAACTGAAGCAGAACAGGCTGTGGATAAAAGAGACCTCAGAACATTATACCAGATAACCAGTTCTCTATCGAAGAAGAAATTAACACCGTCAAAACCTATAAAAGATGTTAAGGGAACCTAATTGCCAAAGAGGAGAAACAGATAAAACAATGGGCTGATCATTTCAAAGAATTCTTGAATCGACCATCCCCTACAGAAAGAAAGCAAAAGCACGCAAAGAGCTGTCTATCAGTAGACAGCAATCGTCCAATGAAAGCAGAAATCTTGAATGCGATCAAGCTACTGAAGTCTGGGAAGGCAGCAGGACCAGAATGAATTACCCCAGAAGCACTGAAAACGGACCTAGAGACTGTGGCATATGCGCTCACGCCACTATTGAAAAAGCTTTGGAAAGAAGGAAAGGTACCTACCGATTGGAAGAAAGGCTACCTCGTCAAGCTACCAAAGAAGGGAGACTTAGGCCTGTGCGAGTACTGGCGTGGAATAATGCTCTTCTCCACGCCAAGTAAAATACTAAGTCGTGTTATCCTGGAGAGAATAATATATGCACTGGATACAGAACTCCGCCAACCCGAACAAGCTGGCATCAGAAAACGGAAATCATGTGCTGATCAAATTGTAGTTCTACACATCAACATTGAACAGGGGATAGAATGACAGTCAAATCTCTACCTCAACTTCACTGACTTTGGAAAAGCTTTCGACAGTGTTGGTCGTGAAGCAATTTGGAAACTACTTCAACACTATGGCGTGCGGCACTTAAATCTTTATCAACCTCATTCAACCACGTGTCAGGTTGTGCACAGTGGAAAACTCAGCGAAGGCTTTGAAGTGAAGATAGGAGTAAGACAAGACTGTCTGCCTATTATCATCGATTACATTCCTAATTGTGGTGGACTGGTTTATGTGTAAGACTACGGGAATCGTGGAGATAGGAGTACGTTGGACCGACAAGAAGACTCTCGAAGATCTGGATTTCACGGATGATTTATGTCTAGTGTCATAAAAACTCGAAGACTTACAGGCGAAAACCAACAAGCTGGGAGAAGAAGCAGACAGAGATGACAGGACTTCAGGTGAACATGGAGAAGACGCAGGTGATGAAGATGCCTAACCAACCAACAGTAACAACAACGATTAGCAACAATCACCATAAAAGGGAGAGATTTGGCAGAGGTCACTCCATTCATTTGTCCAGGCAGCATTATTTAAACTACAGGGGGAACGGATGAGGTTGTCAAAAGCAGAGTGGGAAAGGCAAGGTAGACCTTCATCACCCTGAATTCAGTTTGGAAATCTTCTGGAATCAGAAAAAACAACTAGATTTGGATTCTCAACATCAACACTAAGTTAGTCATTTCTCCTATGAGGATGAAATGGTTGTATTGTTTGTCACTGTAAGGACTTCCAATGAGTTACAAACTTTTTATCAACAGCTTCCTTCTATGGCTCTATACTGACGATCAAATAGCCAGCTGGCCAGAAAGAATTAGCAACAAGAAACTCTGGGAAGACATATGTAGTATAAAATGGAGATGTATCGGGCATATGTGGATGCTGTGGCATGCCAGGCCGGAAAGTGGAACCGCAATGGGGAGAGACTAGTAGGACATCTGAGGGTGACATGGAGATCATGCGTGGAGAAGAGAGATTATGGTCAATCTTGGAGCCAGTTGAAGAGTGTGGCAGAAAACAGAACAAAGTGGAGATGTGTTGTTGAATTCTCATGTTGCACCAGGAATCTAGGGGAATAATAGTATCATGCGATTTGAAAGGCTCTAGAAGACTCAATATATTTTCTAGGCATCGTATGTTGATCCGTAATTTCAAACAGCAGCGTTTCTATGTTAATATATGTGTAAAACTTGGGCACTGTGGTATTAAGTAATTCCATATCTCGAAGTCGTGTGACAAAAATTGATATGATTATGAACAATAAATTGTGTTCGAAACGTCATCCAGTATACAATACTGTTTCACTGTGTGATACATTTAATAATAAAACTAATAAGGAGTGTTTCTGTTTTGTTGCGTTCTCTGTATTAGGTGATTCGATTGGGCGGCTTTCATTGCTATTCTGGAAAACTCCCCTTCAGAGAAATTTTCAATAGGAAATGAATTTATTCGGATTTCTGCTGTTAAATGATATAATTGTATCTTCTGATAAACTTTGGTTCGATTGATTGTTAATTTGCATCAGCGCTGATCGTTTTATATTGGTTTGGAATTTAACTTTTGTAATACATGTGGCTTATTTTTTGTTAGTTGAGAAATTTGACATATAATAATGTGTATGTCAGTTGCTGATTCATCGAAGTGCCAGGTTTCCAGGAATTCCTTGGCATTTTGGGGGGTTCCACTATTCAAAATTTCTGCATTTCACAAATCAAATTGACGTTCACAGTTGATATGAATGAATACACGTATGTGGGGACTCTTGACAGCCAGCTCATGTATTTGGATCAGGATTCGAAGACGTCCACTTTGACCAGTATAGTGCTTATCTCTGGTCGCACAAGTTATTTTATAGATGGTGTTGATTTTGTCTACTTTCGGTGTTGGATGTTTTGATCAGTACTATTTCGAATGAAGTGACTGTGTTGGGTTTTGTCCAATATACATCTATTCCGAAAGGTTTTATTATTCTAGCCATTATTTCAGAAACATACTTTGCAAATGGTGGGAAAAATTTTCTTGTGGTTACTGATGATGCTTTCCTGCTAGAAGTTTGATTCGAGTCTAAACATTCTTTCTCTTTACTGATGTTCATGCAACTGCAATACAGAATTAACTAGGGCATAATGCTTTATGTATTTCTCCTGATACGGAAAACAGAAAAACCTCAATTCAAAATAGTGATATAAGTAGACACTTTTCGGCCTGTAAGGCAAAACTTTGTACAGACTACTTCAACGCGAAAAAAATTCACTTATTTTAAAAAGTAAAATGCATTTAGCACCACTCATAGTTCTGTTCATAAACTTATGAGTTGATCACAGCAGCTTAGTTGATAACTATTGTAAAAGGAAAGAAGATTTGATATGATTATGAGCAGCAATAATTTGTGCTCGAATAGTTGCCATCGGTAAATATTACTGTATAACACTGTGATTTTATCAAAATAAAATTCTACCCATAATGGAGTTATACTCTAACACAGTGCCGAAGTTTTATCTCCTACAACTTAAGGTTAATGATACAGATTAGCTTTCATAAAACTAACTGCAAAAAGGGGTGATAAAATCTGTTCACAAAAAAGAAAATAACAAAAATATAATCTATAGTAGGGTGTTAATTAATCCACAAATTTCCTATTGACAAAATTTATTACTTCAAAGTAGTTAAAGTTACATATCAAAAAATTCCTTGATGTTAAGGCATACCCTCAGATTCACCTGTTTCAATGAATGAATACGTCTTACTAGTTTGTAACAGTTTGATAGTCATATCTAGGCAGCATCAGGGCTTAGAGTTGTTAAACTGGAGGATAGTATGTGGCAATTTTATTTCGTGGATTCTGTCTTGTATAAGTTACAAAGGTCACACTGAACATATTTTTATCCAAGTGTTGTCGAATCATCGATAGGAATAATAATAATAATCGGCATTATTCCAAAATGAAAGAAGTAGAAAAAGTAGCCAGTGTTAAAAAGGCTAACTATTCATAGTATAATTAGACTAGAGGATATGGGGATGTAGAAAGAGTTCAAATTTTTCATAGAAGCAAGTATTGTATACAAAATCCGCGAAATAAAACGATCTCGTGTTATGTTGTTCGTTCTTCCTTTGTTCAAATTTATTAGAGGAACTGGTTGTATGAAATATAAAACTGCATCATCATGGTTTAATGCTCGTATACGTGTGGCCTATTACATCAGAAATGTATCATTTTTTACTTATATGTCCTAGTGTCGCTGATTCAAACTAGAGTATTTGGGGTATGGAGTGTGTGCATTATACCACCACTCAACTTTTATTTGGAGGAAGTCACAAAATATCATTATTTTTTCTAAACCAAGATGATATAGATGTCTAGTGCGTTAACAGGTTAGAAATTAATTCTCTGAAATTACTCAACAACAAATAGAAGTAGGCTAAAGGTAATTAAAAGGCTTCAACATGACGTCATAGACTATTATGCCTAATTTGCGTATGTGAGTAGTCCATATGAATGCTCTGAGACAGCAAACACCCGCAGTTGAATGAATATAAGTGAAATTATTATGAACTAATCAGTCAATCAGTCAGTGTGGCACACAGATGTAGGCATAATACATCTCTGCTTTGTTTTAGACATGCAGCAATTTATAACTTTTAACGTCATCAACAAACTAATCAGTTTATTTGTTTCTCTGTGAGTGCGTCTATTCCAAATAATATCACCGTCACTTAACATACCCGCTCCCCTTCTTTCTACTTTTAGAATGATTAGAATTGATAAAAGACCTAGCTGGGTAACCAGTGAGATAATGGGGTGTTGCAGCTCAGCTGATAATAGACTAAATTTCAGTATAGAACTCTGTACAGATGGACAGTAATTCGAGTTTTCATGCTTCATTTAGCACACAGCGGTAGAGAAAAGAGATTCAAAAATTAGTGTACGAGAGATTACAATGAGTGAATGCATCTGCATCATTGAGAACGATTCTGAACCATATTACGAATAGTCTCCAGCCACTGGTTCTTAACATCTTGGGGACCCCAACTATACAGTCTACACTTCCCTATGTGGCTGAAAACAAATGATCAAAGATTTCATGACTGACATCAGCTAACAGTGATAGACAAGTAATACAGAAGACAGTAAGTTGTGCTTCTAACTAGTAAATAGGCGGCTGCTGGTTAGAATTCTGTCGGAATTCAGATTTTCATCGTAACTATCAATCATGCAAGTACAGTACAGAGATAACTAGGATATATTCCTTGATTAAATTAAGTAGACAGATGTATTACACCTTGCGAACAAAATTCCTTGCTGTATCATTAGTACTGTTTTTGGAATAAAGCAAAAATTATTATTATTATTATCTACAAAATAATAGTCGTCCAAATGAACTAAACAGACAACCACAGAAAACAATGATAGAATCGCAGTTGAAAAGTGGTAAGTAATAAAAGTTTGTGATTGTGTTTTTGTCATTCCATGTATACATACTTAGTACCATTCTAGTCTGGTGCAAAAACCTGCACATATTGTGATATCTATGCATCAGCGTCAGTGTTTTCCATAAGCAGCGTATATACGATCTTTTCTCACACTAATCAAAATACATTGTAACTAATGAGAAATGCCCACTAAAATTTTCAAAAGAATGATTACTGAACAAAGAATACTCTTTTCGATAACTTCATCATCAGGCAGAAGATATGATTATGAACAATAAGTTGTGTTCGAAACGTCATCCAGTATACAATACTGTTTCACTGTGTGATACATCTAATAAACAAACTAATATGGAATTACTTACTACCACAGTGCCCAAGTTTTACACATATATTAACCATTCTTTTCAAAATACATTGTTTAAAACGATGCGGAAAATTATGACAATACTGCGTGACCAATATATCAACGTGAAACTTTGCATACATATACATCACTTCAACTTGTGGCACTTTGGAAAAGCAAATAAAGAAGGCTAGAATGCAAACATGCAATGATATAATAATGACTGCAGGTTTTGTATGAAGGCTAGTCAAAGTCTTCACAGCATTGTGAATAATTTGGAGTCATCTCTAAAAGAACCATTCAATCAATTATATATTCATCGTATACTAGCCTGCTTGTGTGAATTAAATCAGCACTCAGTGTGATTTAATCGACTGATGACATGTTTCGGTTTAACTACTTTCTGTTTTTCTCAACAACTAAGTCCCAGAACCTGGTAAAGCAGGCAGGGAAATTGACATGAGTGACACAAAATACTCACAGTAGGAAGACTTGTAGGATGGCCAATCTATAGAACTCCACGTCTGGTTTGTGCTCTGCTTAAGGTGTTTCCATACACACCTCATTGGTTGATAAAATGTTGGATATAATCAACTGACAAGAATCGATACTATGACAAAATATTCCAAGCACTTACACACATGACAATTACACCTTATAATTCGTGAAATTGTTGTGTAGCATAAAAATATCCTTTAGCAAACTTACACCCTTCCAATCTTGACCACTGTCTTCACTTGGACAGTAGTCTTCATCTTCGTCTGAATTATACGACAATGGTGTTGCTTGACCTTCCGGAGGGTTGCAAGAAAATCAAAAAATATTAATTTAAAGCGAATGATTACGTACTATTTATTAATAAAGAGAACATATTAAAACAGGGTTTCATGCCTCCTAATGATGTCTGACATACAATGATAGCATGCAGGCTGCCCAAATCACATTTAATCAGTTGGTAACCAGTGCCTCTAATCATGGTATGTGCTTTATGCCGCTTAAGTACAGAGTACTGTTACAAGATCGGTCGGAGCGTGTAACTGCACTCACTCTTGCGGGTGTAGCACCTGAAGCCGTCAACGAGTTCGTGTGCCTGAGGAATCGTAGTCTGGAAATACCGCCTTGGGTGTCTGGACATGTGCTAAGAATGTCATCCCAGGGGCTTACATAATGGTCTTTGTCCGCTAGCCCTGAGACTGGATGGAAAAACGTGGTGGTAGGCAGTCAGACAGGATATTTGTAGTGTTAGGTCAGCACAAATTGATACATCAAGACTCCCTGGTTGGGGTCCGAGAGACGGGTTGTAATGGTGGCTCGAAACGCTATCGAACGCAATCAATGACAAAAGGGCTACAATTTCATTTATACCTTTTCTGAAAGCAACATGAAGTAATGATTGTTAAATGATCTTGACGTCGGTACCACGACGGTCAAGACTCTCGCCGACCATGCACATGGTCCGGGATTCGATCCCCTGCCGACGCACACCCGATATCAATGCTCAGCCTGTAAAATTTGGGCTACCGATATCACATGCTGAAAATTCCATACTTGCAACAAAAATACGGTGTGAAGTCAAACTATGTAAAAAATAATAATAATAAAAATAATCCATCCTCACCCCAATTTTTACGTATTGTTGTGTGGCGCGCATCTCTTGTTGCCCATGATGTGCTAGGTGTGTTTTAAATTAGTGATAATGATGAAAGAACCACACTAAAGACAGAATTCAGGTATGCAGAAGAGTAATTACTATTATTGTTTCCTTTAGTTCCTAGAGGAACATAGGGCTTCAGCCGCACGTCTCCATTGCATCCGGTTCTCTGCCAACTTTTTTACCTGGCTCCACGTCTGCCCCACATGCTTTCATCTCCTCTTCACATGACCTCCATACCACCCTTGGACGACCAACTCGCCGCTTCCCATTTGGACTCCAATTGAGAGCCTGTCGCATGATGTCACTTGGTGGTTTGTTTACTCGGAGTGTGGCCAATCCACCTCCATTTTTTCCCGCAGATTTGTTGCTGGTTTGCTGCCAGAGATCACTGTTGCTGATCTTTTCTGGCCGGCCATCTGATCTTGAGTATCAAGTGAAGACAGCTGTTGATGAAGGTCTGTAGTTTGTTCGAAGTGCTCTTCGTGACGCGCCAAGTCTTTGATCCATAAAGTAGCACTGACTTCACATTGGAGTTGAAAATCCGGATCTTATTTTTGATGCTGAGTGCTGTTGACTTCCACACAGATTTGAGAGAAATGAAAGCTTTCCTTGCTTTCCTGATCCTCACTTTGATATCCTTATCAGTTCCGTCCGCCAGTAGTTGAGACGATGCTTCACAGGTAAGTGGTGAAGGAGGTTGCTTTTTTCAGATTTCTCCCATTCAAGCTGATTGTTGTCTGTTGTTATTGTTGTTGCTGTTGTCCAGGAATCTTCATCGCCTACCTCTGTTTTGTCTATGTACACCTGAAGCCCTATCTTTGATGCTTCTTCTGCCAACTTGTTGCTTTTCACTTGCATAACTTCCAGTTTGTGGGAAATCAGACATATATCGTCGGCGAAAACCAGAAACTCCAAGTTTTTTGTGTGATTCCATTTAACGCCTGTTTCCTCGCTGCCCGCTGTCAGCCGCCTTTTACAGTCTACCACCCGTAGTCAGGAAAATCATTGGAGATAGTAGGCAGCCAGCTTGTCTTACTCCGGTCTTCACTTCGAAGGATTCTGTGAGTTTCCCACTGTGAATTACTTGGCAAGCAGCATTGTCGTACAACTGTTGGATGAGATGTATAATTGTTGGTGGTACCACGTAGTAGCGAAGTAGTTGCCAAATCACCTCTCGATCGACGCTGTCAAAGGCCTTTTCAAAGTCGATGAAGTTTAGATAGACAGCTTACTGTCATTTCAAGCTCCGTTCAATGATGATCCGTAGTGTTGCGATTTGACCAATGCATGATTTGTTCCTCCTGAATCCAGCTTGTTCTGGTCGAATGTTTTTATCCAGAGCGTGTTTGATTCTCTCCAGGATGATGCGGCTTAGTATTTTGCTTGGGATGGACAGGAGCATAGTTATGCTCCAGTTCTTGCATTGACTGAAGTCTCCTTTCTTTGGTTGTTTCAATCAGTAGTTTTTCTTCCAGTCCGCAGGTACCTTGCCCTCTTTCCACACCTTCTCCAGTAGTGGTGTCATCAAGTCCACTGATGTCTCTGGGTCCATTTTTCAATGCTTCTGCCGGGATCACAGAAGAGTAAGCTTTCACTTCTTGAAAAAAACCATTTCTGATACAGTATTTACGTGATCACAACAATTTACCAGCAATAATCAGTTAACACCAAAATGTTATAAGGTGGAATCATTCACTTATGGGAAAATCAATAGATAATAAATAGACGGAAAACAATTAAGAGTACACACAACTAGACAGCTGGGCCAACGTGTCACTCAACATCCTCTCCCATCGTGGTTTGGTGAAGGACAGATAGAAACCACCTTAAACACTGCTTTTAAGCCGCATTTGTTGATAGTGATCATTCAGTGGGAAGAAAAGGGAACCTTTCAAGGTGATACATCGCATCGCATCTTACCTATGGACCTGATTCTGTCGAACTGTTAAAGACGAAGAATGTGAGTAATTAATAAACCTAGACATCCAGCTTACAGCTTGGGTGGATCCCAGAACCTTCTGTTGTATTTGAAAAAGGAAGTGATAAAGTCACATAGGAAAGTATTGTTTTGAGCCTTACACCTACCTAGGCACTTATGTGTCAGTAATAACTTGAAGAACGGTATTAGCAATTTAGCGAGTTTATTCTTTTTTTGATGAATAGGATATTCCCACACTGAGTCTAAAGAAAAAGCAGACGTAAGCAGCGAGAATTTTCTTTCCAATGAATCATTTCCAAGTGCTGTGCAATCATATTTATATTCAACAAGGAATTCATAGAACCAATCAGATACTGATAACTTTGTTCTGGAAAATGTGTTACATAGTGCGAGGTGTAATCTAGAGGATGGTGACTAAGCGGAGATTAGAAAAAGAGGTACAGACTGAAATGACGTAATTAGTGTGAAAAATGACTCATCAATACAAATGCACAAAGAGGACAAGAACTAATGGAAAGATGATAAAGTGTCTGAGTAAAATTTATATGAAAATGCAATATTATTATTACATAACAATAGTGATTGTAAAAAAGGAATGATAATAGAAGTAAACTTCAACAATAAAATGAAACAAAATTATGGTAAGAACGTTAGTTTGACCACGGTAAGGCAAGTGAATATATATGTAATACTTCTGAAAAATGGTTCGGGTCTCAGGTCCCAAAAAGACAGTGATTCGGCTATGTAAAAACGACGTGTTCGTAGGTCTTTCCCGAGATACTGGGGAACTCTACGCATCATTGTGAAGCAGTCATGTGGGGATGTCCAAGGTTGGCTAGGTATTCTAACTAACTAGCCAAGCTGGGTAGTGTCCCAGGATACGTTTGCGAACTTGACGTCGTGCACGGTCAATAACAACACTTCGCTCCACAGGAACAAGTAAACTGATAAATACACATTGAGGTGGCCAGAAGCGATATCTTATCCTTAACGCCTGACTGCATAAACTGTCTGCTGGAGAATATGGTTCGTAAGACGGCTTCTTTAAATGTCTCCTGATGACCTTTGGAAAGGCGATTTCTAATAATTCCTGCTTCAATACTACCCTTGAAATCTGGGTTCATGAAGAGTTTTCTTAGGAACAATTGCAACTTTCGGTGACGAAGGCTTTCCTCTCATGTTTCTGTTTGTGAATCTGGGTGGATATCCGTAGTGCCACGTAGATATTTTAATTCAGTCTCTATCGTATCTTTTGAACAGAAATTTTTAATTCTTGAGAATAAGGTATGCACTACGTTTTGCTTTCGCACCAATGGGATAAGGCTCTGGATATTAATAAACTGTCCAGTTCATGTTGGTTTTCTGTAAATTGATCTTCGGACAGAGTTGTCTTGTCTTCTGGTAAGTAGCACATCTGGGAATAGAAACTGCATATTTTATTTATGTTCTAGGGTGAATTTTATTGACGGGTGTCTTGCGTTGAAAACGTTCAGGAGATTGTCGAAATCAAATATTTCATTACAAGTTAGTAAAGTATGATCTACATACCTTTTGTGGAGGCGCAACTGACTGATCAAAGTACCCCCAATGTTCTTAGCTTTTTTATTAGTATTTACTTTTTCAAACTAAGTTTACTATCGATGTGTGTGCATGTATGTATAGTGAAGCTATAGCTCATTGGTTTAAGCACTCAACTTGCAACCTGTAGGTGGTCACGGGTTTGAATACCACTCCATCTACTGAGATTTTGGACCTTCAAGTAGTATCGCTAGTCCACACAATAGGTGAGACTCGACTGCATGGAACTGCTACTGTCTGTTGAGTAACATTACCAATGCATTGTAGTAATGACGGATTTATGTGATGTATAAACACTTTACTCACCAGTAATTGCATTCTTCCAAAAACGCGAAGAATAATCTTCATTATTCTCACATTTAGTATTATCTTCCTCCTCGCCCTCTTCCACCTCTGTTGTTACTGCCACTGCCTCTTCTTCTTCGCCTTCATCATCTCCGTCTTTTACTTTTACAGCTTTTCCATCACTACTTTCCTGGCATTCTCTTTCTGCAACATCCCCACTATCTGAATCAGACAGTACAGTCTCCATCTCCTCTTTCTCTGATTGTTTATCTAATGGTGTATTCGAAGGAATTGTATTGTCCAGCAGTCCAATGGAATTTTGATTAGCTGAGTTTGATTTCGCACGAGATCTCAGTGAATGACCAAGTGACATACGTGATGAGTTGTCCACTGGGGGGCGTCTTGAGTGTTTAGGAGTTGGAGCAGTCGACGATGGGTCAGAGAATGAAACGTCTATAGACACTGGACTCGCGCTGTGCGAACAAGGGACTGAATGTGGATGTGTAAATGAAGTAAGCTATAATGAAGTGAAAGGTAAACGAAGATGAGATGTTGATCAAGTTTATTTAGTAAGATATATATAAAGAATAATAACTGCGTTATTCATTTATTAATAAATGATAAATCAGTTTAATACGTAAAGTGTAAATATAAATATTGCCAATGAAATGACTAAGATATGGCAAAGCTGTATTTTTAATTTTACAGTAGGATTTATCATTTGCTGTTAAATGATACTGCATATTATGGATCAGCTGGCAGATTGGTAAGTATGGAGGCTTTTACACAAGTGAATCAACTCAAAGCTGTCAGAATTCGCGAAACTATAACAATATTATAATACTGTTATTATTCACTTGGGTTTCGAGTGGGACATAGGACTTCAAAAACACATAACTATTTCATCTTGTCTGTTCCCTTCCCTTTTAGCTGGCTTCATGGTTGCCTATAAGTTCTCATCTCCTCCTAACATGGGAGCACAGTTCGTCTCTCAACACTACAGAATAGAGGAAAGTAAAAGGAATGGAATGATATCACAATGAAGGAAAATCCTCTTGGTAAGCAGCAGATTAGTTAAACGGCTGTGTAAACATCATTTGTGCAAACTGAATATATTTGCGACACTATCACAGATTTCTAGTCATGTCAGAGTTTCCTAGCAGCTATTCTTGATACCTCAGAAGTTCCAGTTATGCAGCATGTGCAAACTAAAACAACAATGATAACCTAAGAGTTGTTTCATTAAGCATCACTGCTTACCGCTTTTGTTACTCCTGGATGACTCGCATAAATTAAGGGGTATCGTAACACAGAAGAATGTTTATAACTCTCTTTTATGATGATAACAAGTAGGATAAAGTGATAATATGGATTTCAACTCTTCTAAATATTCATTGAACAATGTTTAGTTTTTAAGTGCTTACCTTTACCCTTTACCCTTAACCTTTACCCATTTCCTCAGGGTGAATGAACAACAACACTAAGTATCTAACAGAACGTATTGAATTTTTTGGCGACGGTCTCTGATGACGCAACAAAAAAACCAGAATGGATCGTTAATATAGTAAATAATATTTTTTAATTGATACACTTTAAGCTAATAATCGTAGACGTTATCAAGAATTTTAATGTACCAGCATTGGTTATGTTGCCTTCTGATAATTTCGTGGCTGTGTGAAGATGAAGGCACTGAGGGAAAGGATTTATTTATTTACTCAAAACACAAACTTGGCACATTATGGGCATCAAGAGATGCGCCGCACAAAATCTAATAGTTTAAGCAACGGCTGATATACTACTCAAACACCTAGACAGACGCAGATGGTAGTCTTCGGGGACAACCCCGTCAACCTTTGACTTGAAGTTTGATCCACAAAGCAATGGAGCAGCGTGTCCATGGTTAATGATGACTACTACAAGTTCATACGCCCGTCCAGATTCTGGAGCCCATGTAGGTCATAGGTTCAAAACACGAGTTCCTCGACTCTCCTAGAACATAGACACACTTTTCGGCGTCCAACAATTGTCATATTTCTTGACTTGACGGCGGCCTTCGACTCCGTGGATCGAAAGGTACTATGGCAATGTCTGACTGTGAAGGGAGTGCCAAGAAAGTACATTGCACTAATTAAGGCACTCTATTCAAACTCATATAGTCGTGTAAGGGCTTATGGGGAATCGTCATCTGAATTGGCAACAACCAGTGGTGTCCGACAGGGATGTCCACTTTCCCCATTCCTGTTTAACTTCATCATAGATATGCTGATGGAAGTATCCTTAACTGAACGTAACGACTTAGGAATCGACTTGTTACCAGGGAATAGTCTTATGGACTTAGAATATGCAGATGACATAGTCCTGTTAGGGGAGGATGCTGACAAAATCCGCAGAGTCTTCTGAACACCTTGAGCAGCAATCTTCGTATGTTTGGCATGCGATTCGCCCCTACAAAATGTAAGATGCTGCTACAGGACTGGACCACGTCAACTCCTAACTTAGTGATAGGGAGTGAAGTGATAGAACATGTTGACCACTTCACCTATTTGGGAAGTTGTATTAGCGCCAACGGACTGATTGGCGATGAAATCTCAGCACGGATCCAAAAAGCTCGAGCTGCTTTCGCTGACTTACACTATCTCTGACGTAGGCGTGACATCCGGCCATCAACCAAGGGACGTGTGTACTGCTCAGCAGTTCGCTCCGTCCTTCTCTATGGCTCTGAAACATGGCCAATACGAGTTGAAGACATGAAAAGGTTGACTGCTTTCGATCATAGATGTCTGCGATCTCTGTCTCACGTTAGGTGGTTTAATAAGGTAAGTAATGCTGACGTTAGGCGTAGAGTGTTGGATAAAGAGGGAAAATCAATCGACGAGGCTATAAAGTTACATAGACTAAGATGGCTAGGTCACGTGCTGCGCATGCCTAACCATCGCCTCCCCCGACGGGCATTACTAGCTGATATAGGTGCAGGTTGGAAAAGAGCCAGTGGTGGCCAAACAAAAACATGGCATCAATCCATGAAATCCTTGACAGTTAAACTGAGTCAGGTAGGGAGATGCAGACTTCCGAGTTGGGGCCCTCGGGACTCTAGGAATCCATGGCTGGAGACAATAGGTGACATGGCTCAAAATCTTTGTCAATGGCGCAGATGTATTCAGTCTCTGTAATCTTTCATATTCCTTTCTACCACTACCCACTCTGTTTCACTCTTATACTTGTCAGACTGTATTGATTCTCTTCACTCATCTTCTTGTCTACTTCTGTGTGCTATTTGGAACGTGGCAACTCGAACTGGTGCACTTCGGTGCCAAGTTCTATGTTGAATCCAGACAGACAGACAGACGTGCGTGTCCACTGGTTCGGTGATAAGTGCCAAACAATCGCATTTGTGTTCCCACCTGCTATGTAAATACAGCAAATAATACTTAAGGATAAATGAGCATCCAACCAACAGTGTCTTTGTACCACGATTACCATTCACGAACAGTGTAGTCAGTGTTTAAAAATAAAACAGGGTTATTTTTAATAAACGTCTGAACTACGGAGAAGATTAGACTATGTAGCATGTATTAACACCAACAAAAACGGAATACACCTTACAAAAGACATTTTCTGAGAGAATACGTTGGGATTTTGGGAAACTGCTTAACTAACTTCAAACCTTTCTATGCGAATTCTCACACATTCAGTAAACCAGTATATTGGCAATTTATCTATGATCTCGAAATCAAAGCTAGAAGTGACCTAGACAGTTTTTCTTGTATTTAACTGAAGTTCAGATTTTCCCGTCGATTGATTGGACCGAAGTGCTCCATCTCAGGTTGACATGTCGGCTTCTTGTGCAGATGCTTCGAAGATGTTTAGGCATTTAATTAGAATTTTATCTGTGGATGGTGACTATGGGCACTTGGTTCGAGCCTTGGTGGCAACATCATCACTGACTAACTGGGAAATGCAGATACATCAAGATGACGAGTTCCAAGTAGGTCGAAATGCGCATCATGGATTCCACTGCTAGTCACCATCCACAAATTAAGTTTTTCTTGTGGTTTTTGCAAATGTTCCCCTTCTTAGCCTGAACTTAAGAGGATCAAATCAAAAGCTGACCATATATTGTTAAATAAATCTGCTTGTGCACTAAGATAAGCATACACCTGCATGGGCTTCTGAATGGTAACAGTCAAGTAGACATAGAAATAACCTATATTTGACCGAATATGTTAGGGATTATACTGTCTTACCTCAAAACATATTTATTGCAAGTGCTGATTCTCCGAGACAACTAGTTTTAAGTTAGATTACGGGTTCGCTAAGCTGAGTGTGAGGAGAAATACTTGCCCACGACACTGACTGGTGGTTGCACTCTACACCCCGAAATGGCCATTGAATTGAATGATAAACGGACACCCCTCCCAACTTGGAAGTTTTGGGGTTATTTACTTCTGGGACCAAACAGTTGTTCAGTACTGCCTAGGCCTTCTAAGGTCCTCTCACTGATGTTAATCATGATTTAACTTGAAATTTTTTAATTCGTTACTTCCACAATGCTCTCAAAGAGATTACCGCCTTTAATTAGCTATGAAGATACACACGATTTTTCTGGGGCTATAAGATTTGGATACCCTTAGCTAGTTTTTATAACTCAACAGAGAAACAAAGTGAACTTTACAACATTTAGCTTAAAAAGTTTCAAAAAAATAAGAGTTAAAAAAATTCCATTGATATTACGTTTGCAAAAAAGACGTTCATGTTGCATACTGAAGACATCGATTAGAAATGTAAGAACTCACGCAGCATAATGGTGAGTCATCCGACTTCTTTTCGATTAACCCCTCAACATCTGATGACGATGAGTAGGTGATTGTATGGTTTATTGATGTTGGTCTGTTTCGTTGAACAGAACGAGTAGTCTGAGGATCAGTGTTTTCTGTATCTACACTAGATGTTGTAGCAGTACGGCGAGACTTCTTAGTTGGAGGTATTGATTCGAGTGACTCTTGTGTTGAAGTATTAATTGTAGGAGGAGTAGCAGTACGCCGACCACCCTTTAAACGTGCCGGTCTACCTTTAGAGGCTGGTGTATTTATACTGCGAATATCAGTGTTTGAAGAAATTCCATAGGTAGCTAACAGTTCATCCAGAGACATTTGACTTTCCTAGAATTAACAACCGGAAAACAGTACAGCATCAACTAAAACTAACCTGTTAATTAAAAATACACGTAATAGGTTAAATAATTACATTCACGATACATACTAAGTGCATGTGTGTTTATAATTACTCAGGACGGAACAGATGAAGCGCAGGTGAAATCCAGCACAACTGGTTGAAAGTTAGATGTCCAAAAACCAATGGGCTGCAACCCCAAAATAATGACTTAGCATTTGTTTGATGTAACTTTTTCTGCATACAGACAGAGTTCCTGAGTTCCAAAGTAGGACTGCACAAAAATGCAACAGTTTGAGTAGCTACACTCAATATATAACACTAAGTTGGTGAAATAGAGAGAAGATTCAAAAAACTACAATGGACAGAAATCCACTGGAGAGAGAATTATTCTAAGGAGACACATGTGGAATTAATGGCCCTTGAAGACTACAAAGAAAGAACGCACGTGCCACTGACTTTTTGGAGCCAAATCACCGTTAAGGTGTTTCTGTCAACGTTCCAGTCTTCTATCCTGAAAAGTGATTCAAATATCTCACTTTTCTGAAGTCATTAAACGTACCTTTTTTTTAAAAAGTTGTTTCCTTAATGAATCTACAGCTGTCTAGTATTATCTGCCACCGATGTTTTCTACGTCTGTTCGGCTTTTGGGCGTCCACCACTGCCCAGTGTCATCGCAAAGACTTTCACTCAGCATTCAATTGAGCAACTTTTGCGTCTCACTAGGTTTGGAACCCGCCAGCACCAATCTTCTTGCGCCTGTCAGTTCGGATGGAGCAGCCAAAATCCACTGGTCATTACTAAACGTTGCCAGCCTTTCTCAGGATATGTCTTGCTGTCAACTTTAGGTACTTTTTGGTTATTTCTACCCCAAATAGAGACCTCGTGCCTGTCTCTTATGGTCGTTTAGTCTTAGGCAAATACTCGCATGAAACAGAGGATGGTAGGAATCTACGCAGGCGTTCCAGAAAGAGTGCCAGTCTTCTATCGACTCTTCCCATAATCAGCTTTTAACTACGCGATTTATTTGAGTATATTATTCATTTGATGATGGAGATCTCCAAATTAAGCAGTGTTCCCCTTATACTTAAAGTTGGTGTTGGCCATGAACAGATATTTGTGCTCACAGACACTCAGATCAATGAAGAAGGATGCACAGAGGCTGTGCATCAGTTCAAGACCGGCTGATATTTAATTATATATATATATATATATATATATATATATATATATATATATATATATATATATATATATATATATATATATATATATACTTCTACATTTCTTTACACAACTGACTGTTATGGATTCATTACAGATTAACACAATAAGCGAGTATTAAGTCAAAAGAGAAAGAGAATTCCATCACCACTGAACAACAAACACGCTTACTTTCATAAGACTTGATACTTCTTCTTCGTCCGCAGCATCTTCTTCTGGTGGAATACTGTCATCATCTTCAGCTGAAACATCACGTTCATCAAAATCACTATCACTCGCTCCATCAGTCTTCGATGCAACACTGTCTAAACAAGCATCTAGACCATTAACAGTGGTATTGGAACCATAATTTGCCTGCCGTTCAGTGCTTTCTGAAGCAGGCGTATTTGTTTCCCAATTTTTTTCAGTAACCATAATTTGCAGAATTTAGGTTGAAAAAGAAAGCATTCACACAATATGACCTGAAACACAAACAAACAGTTTACTGCATTATAATGTTCTACAGAAATGAAACAGGTGAGAGTCGATCAGATGATACTGGCATCTTCAATACTGCGCGCGTCTACATTCTACCGTGAGTCGTAGGTAGATATATCTAGATGTCAGAAGGTGGAAAGGAATGTAATATATCGAAATACTGCAAATGGACATGCATTAAATCTCCAATGACGGCATGAAAAGTTTCAGCTGGTTCCTCAAAATAAACAAAAAGTAAATTTACGTTCAAAATGCCACAGATGTGGCGGAAAAAACCCACACAGGAGGGTCAGATATAACACACACTGAGACCAAAAAAGCATAAATCGAACGTGACATTGCATGTAAGAACTAACGAACGTGTATTGCTACACTAACACAATGAAAGAGATAACAGAAATGGAAAACCAGAAACACAGAGTCTGTTCACATATACAGAACACCACTTGAAATTTTGGCAGTAATTGACTTGCCTCACGCTCATGTTGAAACGCATCATATCTGACACAAGAGAACAACATGTCCATCAAATAACGTAGATAGGTGTTGTAATCTGTAGCAAACAGCTTTGGATAGTCTAACTGTGGACAGCATACAGGTGTAATCTAAATCGTTTCAATGTGACTAATGAATTTAAGGCGCAATAACAAACTCAAGGTTGCAACTCGAAAGGTTTTGGTCAAAAAGGGAAGTGAGAATAGATCTTGGCAAACCAAATCAACCAACTGATGACTAAAAATCATCCCTTTTCGAGTGAAATTAAATTCAAATGAGAAAAGTAACATCACTAGTTGCTCGGTCACTGGTTCGAACCCTACTCCACCTATTTCAGCCTCGGGAACTGGAGAGTATTACCAGCTGTCCATCTATTTAGGTGCAGCTCATTGCCCGATAAATGGAAAAATCTATGCTCGATAACTAAGTTGGAAAACGAGGAACTGACCATTGTCAGAAACGATCAGTGAAAAATTATCCCTTTTCTGAGGGCCAGTTTGAATTTTAATCATCGGCTAATTCATGTACTCGTGTACGGAAAGAAGTCAGTTATATATGAATAAACAATTATTTATTATATTATTTATTTAATCCTCGCAGAATTCGCTATGAAAACATTAAAATATAGTCAATTTCCAGAAACAGTTTTTTAAAGCAAGTCTGTCTTCTCATTTTTGTCTGAAATAACTAGTGCAAAAGGACAAGGTGAGTCTTAACTACGATGATAAGGAAGATACTAAACGGAAAATAAGTATATCTATGTCGATTACAAACGGTAGTAGATAGTACAAAGGAGGATGGAGAGGCTAGCGATTTAAGTTCTTTTTTTATTCCTTTACGTTAGCAGTAGAACATAGGGCTTCAAGCTAGAGGCTTGAAGTTTCGGTAGCAGTGGTGTTGATCTTTACAGCATGGGTTAGCTAGCCTCATGCCCAACCTTCCCTCTTTACCAGACTTAGTACTGGCTCAGCGAGGTGAAGGAGCGTGTCGGCCGGGGATCGAACTCCGGACCACATGCGTGGTTGGCAAGCATTCTACCTCTACGCCACCGACACATGATTTAAGTTACTAGTTAGCATTTATTAAGATATGACGAAAATCTGACTTGAAAGAAGTTAGCAAATATTTTATCTAGAGAAATCGATTACAGAAACACCGAAATTTCATGTAATGTTACGATGGTACCGATAATCAATAACCTAATAAATTTATGCCTTCTACCCTATCATGTGTTAGAGACGCATATAAGTAAAGAGCTTTCCTACACACCATACATTACTGTACACGTTGGTGGATATTTCATTGAGCCTAGGTAGTGCAAACAGTTGGATATTAGATGAGCTTTCAGTATGTGTCAATACGTCGTCACAAATTTCAACTGTCTAATATAGCGAATTCGCCAATATGAAATTTTATTTGTAACCTTTGTTTCTCTGTATATGAACCTGAAACATCGTAATACAACTGAGAAATGCCAAATACCAGATATGTTTAGAATTCCGCTAAACCATACAGAAAACACTTTACAAATACTACCTAACACTTGTTTCCGCACTTTAATTCAAACAGGTGTTTTCCAGGCAATTCACGAATCCGCAAGTTGAAGATGAGCAGATTTACTCTAATTTATGAATTGTGACAGTAAACATTCTGAGCCCATATCAATAGTTATCTTATGCAACCACATCATAAGCTTAGAAACGGTTTGGCATAAAAGTGAAGCAGAGCATCTCATTTTAAACCCTCGGTTGATGGGATCGAATGTAGCCTCTAGATTATAAAATTGTAATCCTAATTACCCACCATGTCCATGTGTGACAACTGACAATAACTAGCTGTCCAACCAATAGATGCAAAGCGACCTGCCAATGGAGAGCGTTAATCCCAGTTTTACCTTTATAATAGATACGGCTAACTACTTGATTCACTATTATGGACGTGAGTACGAAACTGAATTCTCTTCATTTCAATATGCACTTTGATCGTTTTAGCCAATAAGTGCCACCTCCAACAACTGCTGTAGACAAAGTGTCAGATGATGAAACCTACTGTATACTGAATTTGATGTGATCGTTACAATCTCATGAAAGTCCAATCATCGGCATATACATGCCACTTAGCCTATAAAGGGAAAGTGGGCGACCAGACGCGACAATAAACCAGTTAGACTACTATATGATTTTCTCCTGAACACCACCCATCTTTTTCGCAAAAGTAATTAGTCATTAAAATTTGAATGATAGTTACCAGTGTTTTTGGAGGGCTATTGTTTCATAACCGTTAGGTACTGCTTAGTGATGATATACTTTCTATCCCATTTTTGATACCACCGCTGTTCGAGAGTGCAAACAGGGTAACGAACTCTTATTTTGTGCTGATTAAAAAACAAAATTTTTCTTTATATCTTATAACTTAGTTGACACAGGCTTTGACTGATACCTATCCAATAATCCAACCACAAAATTTGAACGATCTGAAGACTATTCAGTGAACCATCTGAAGATTAAGAAATTGAACTCATAACTAGGTATGTCACTGAACAAAAGTGACCATCAGAGATGTTAGAAAGGTCTCGAATAAATACAAATATCTCAACTAGTGTGACTTAGTGTGTAACTGTTATCATCAAAGACAGCCAAGGGAACCCAATTGCCAAAAGGTTGTAGACCTTTATCAACAACTGTCTTCGCTCTATACTGAAGATCAGATGGCCAGGCCGGAAAGAATCACCAACAAGAAACTATGGGAACACACAAAGCAAGAACCAATCGCATAACAAATATGCAGGAGAAAGTGAAGATGGATTGGACACTCGCTGAGGAGGCCGCTGGGTGACATCGCGAGTCAGGCCCTCGAGTAGAACCCGAAAGGGAAGTGGTGAGTGGGACGTCCAAGGGTGACATGGAAGACATTGTTTGAAGAGGAGTTGAAACAGTATGGACTAACATGGATGCAGGTGAAAAGCACAGCAGAAGACAGAAGCACGTGCAGTTAAAACCCTATGTTCCACTAGGCACCAAGGGGGACAATAATAATATAATGATGCCTTAAATAATAACAATAAAGATATAGTAGGAAATAGAATATCAAGTAAAATTAGGAAAATTCCACAAAAATTCAGGATCATTCAAACCTAGTTGGCCAAGGTTAAGGATAATGTCTGAACTAACTTCTTTTGGACGCACAAATTAGGCTTCTTAATATGGATCCCAACAGCCTCAGCAATATTTGGTAGTCGAACTCTTAAGGCGAAATCGAGATTTTGTTGGTATGTGGTAAATGACCCTGAAAGCATGGTTAACATCAATCTTGTGTCCTGTATCCACAAGATGAGATAGAATAGCGCTCCGAATAGATTTAGTTTATCCTTCGGTTAACCACGCAGGGTGATGTTCGGAAACTCGACGAAAAACACGCCTAATAGTACGGCCTATGTAACTGGCTCGACAGGAGCAGTTAAATTGGTAGATACACATGGAAGAGATGAAATCAGGCAGTTTGTCTTTTACTCTCGAATGCAAAAGAGGAGTGGTTTTGAAGACAGCGTAATTCGGCAGCTGGGAATGCTCTTTTTACCGCATTTCTAAGGCGCTGTGTTAGTATCTCGCTGGTGTTGTCCCCAAGGAACTGCATCTTTAAGAATAAGGCCTTTTTTGGAACTGTTGGTAATATGGGCTGCTTTGATTTTAGATTCATATCCTTATCAATAAACTTTTCTGGATAACTATTTTCACTTAGCAACCGTTTCTCACCAAGACATTTATCCGAGCAAATTGCTCTTGCTCTGTGAACCAAGCACTTTATCAGATTGCGTTTGTATTTCAAGGGCACGAAGGTGAGAAAATGAGTATACTGACCCGTTGATATAGGTTTTCTACATACACTTCTTATTGTGCCATCCTTTTTTCTGGTCATAAGGACGTCTAGAAATGATATACTAGAATCTTTTTCTTTCTCAATAGTAAAATTTATTGCAGGATGTACCTCATTAAATTTATCCAGGATGCGCTTTGCATCCTTCTCATTTTTCATAACCAAAATAGTATCATCCATGTACCGACAATAGAATTCGAGTTCATCAATAACATCTTTCAAAGGCCCATTTTCTAGTTTCGCAAAAGTCATTAACCGCATACCTACGAATCTCAATTTCGCCTTAAGAGTTCGACTACCAAATATTGCTGAGGCTGTTGGGATCCATATTAAGAAGCCTAATTTGTGCGTCCAAAAGAAGTTAGTTCAGACATTATCCTTAACCTTGGCCATCCAGGTTTGAATGATCCTGAATTTTTGTGGAGTTTTCCTAATTTTACTTGATATTCTATTTCCTACTATATCTTTATAATTTAAGCATCTTTAATGAACTATAATTTCATCGATTTTACTTTACAAATCAATATTATTTAATAAACACTAACACTGTTATTGACTAGTAATCTAGAATATTCTGTGTATAAACACATATATAATTGTAGAGCCACAAAAGGAAATTTTCGTAAAGAATATTCTTTGCTCAATTATTTTGTGTTTTATAAATCAACTACACTGGTCCGACGGACTGGCTAGTATCTCAGTTAACCTAGGCGATGAACTGTCATTACCATTCTTCAGCGTATAGCCAACATTCAGACCAGTTTTATCCTCAGACTACCGCACTACGTGAAAATGTCTCCAACGAATTCTAACCATTGATATAAGAATAAAACTTATGCACTGTGGTAGAGTGTAATTCCATTATGGGTAAATTTTGTTTTGATAAAGTCTCACAGTGTTATACAGTAATGTTTACTGATGACGTTCCGAACACAATTTTTTGCTCATAATCATATCAAGGTAATCACACGGCTTCCTAAATTCATTTATATAGTTCCATTGTTTTTCTCTTGATTTGATTGGTAATAGTATATTCCATATTTCAGGTATGAGTGACGAGTCATTCCTATTGCATGTGTTGGGTGTAGACTCGATGAACAAGGATTCAGTAATCAACCTCTCTCTCCACCTATCTAGATTACTTTTTAGAATTTTAACCCTCTCCCACCCTATTGTGTGGTTGTGTGTTAGCGCATGCATTGCAATTGCTGAGCTTTTTTCTAAATTACTTATCTTCTCGGGGTCAACCATTCTTACCTTAGCTAAATTCTAACCATATTTCAGATAGCTGTGGTGATTTCAACGGTGAAGGCGGTTTGTTTTAATAATAACACGCAAAATCTAAGAGGGTGTATTGATCACTTTAAGGGTGTCAGGAGATCCCTCAGCTGGCTCGCGAGGACTCACAGGTGTAGAGATAGCATTGAGTGTTAGGGCAGAAAAATACCTTGATTAGATCCCACTAGATAGTCGTTTGTATGCGGTCCGTCTGAATGTGTCCGTTAGAAGGCAAGACAGCGACAACACCAGACAACTATTTAGCCTTATCAGGGAAACAGGTGGGAAAAGGCAAATGATAAGTGAAACCATCTCTGAGAAAAATGCCGCTATAATTAGCTCTTAGCGTAGACGACTGGAACGTTGGAAATAACACTTTGAGGAGCAATTCAACAGACCTACAGCAAGCTCAACTTACCGAACATCCAACACCTCCGTGAATGGGATATAAACACCGATTCTCTGTCCATGACGGAGGCTACAAAAGCTGTCACTATTCTGAAACGAGGACCTGATAGAATGACTACACAGATATTTAAGGACGGTGGAGACAGTTTACTGTCTGTGTTAACTAAGGTACTACGCAGCGTCTGGGAATCAGAGGAAGTTCCGTGAGGTTGGTGATTGATTATCCCGATATACGACAAGGGAAACAAGTCTTCCTGTGATAATCACAGGGGGATTAGCTCGACCAATAATCAGTAATCACGCGTAGACTACGGGTGCTCGAAAGAAACAAAGACGAAAGAACCAGCCAATCTTTGGACCAGGGAGAGGGAGTATCAATCATATCTCAGCCCTAATGGACTATCTCAGTAGTAATGGACTTAACCCTAACTCACTTCAGCGACTCAGGGATTGACTTGTTATCAGAGAATAATTTCGCTCACTTAGAATATGCAGATGATATAATCCTCCTAGGTGAAGATGCTGACAAAATGCAGAGTCTTCTGAACACCTTGAGATGCAATCTATGAATGTTTGGCATACGATTCGCTCGCGCCAAATGGGGGATGATGCTACAGGACTGGACTACATTGACTGCTAGCTTAGAAATAGAGTGATGTGGTACAGCGTATTGACCTCTTTACTTATTTGGAAAGTTGCATCAGCCCCAACGGGTTGAATGTTGATGAAATCTCAGCACGGATGCAGAAGACTAGTTTCGCATATGCCAGTCTACACCGTCTCTGGCGTAGATGTGATACCCGGCTTTCGACCAAAAGGCGTGTATACTTCTCAGCAGTCCGCTCTGACCTTCTTTAAGGTAGTGAGACATGGCTATTGAGCGTGGAAGACTTGAAAGCCTGGCTAACTGCCTTTGACCACAGGTGTTTGCGTTCTATCTCCCGTGTGAAATGGTATAATAGGGTGGGCAATAATGAGGTTAGGTGTCGAGTGCTAGATGAGGAGAGGAAATCAATTAATGGGGTAGTGAAGTTATGTTGGTTGAGATGGTTAGGATATGTGTTACGCATGCCTGTTTAACCACAGTCTTCGTCGACGGGCAATGTTTGCTAATATAGTGTCAGGTTGGAAAAGAGCTAGTGGTGGTCAAACGAAAAAATAACCTCACCGGTCAGTGAGATCCACAACAGTTAGTGCAGACTTCTTGGTTTGGGTCCTCGGAATGGTAAGAACCAATGGCTGGAGACACCTGTTGATATGGCTCAAAATCGTTCTCAATGGTGCAGATGCATCTACTCCTTGTGACTTATAGTACCCAACAAAACTATATTGTCCTTCGAAATTCCTATTCTTTTCGGTTCATATCTCTGTGTACTGTCTCTATTTTGCATTACCTTCTACTTTCTTCTCTTATTTCGTGTGCTACATGCAGTGTGGCGACTCGAAATGCTACACACCGGTGCAGAGTTCTATGTCGAAACCAGACAGACAGGCACGCGATGATGTTGGCGTATCCATATTCAAAACCAGAATGTTACAAGAAAAATATAAGGACGATAGGAACACAGACCTCAAATGCTTTATTTGTTAAAAATAATTATGAATACTATGCATACGTACGCACTGTAAATCACTAGACTAGAAAACTAGGATAGATGTGGTTGACTCCATCATGTGGAACCAATAAAAATCTTCAGACCTGAACAATCAATAATCATCGAAACGTAATTTGCAAGCCAAAATGGTCCCCGGGTATTTCGCATTATCCTGGCCGCATAATTCTATCGAACTCAAACGACGAATTGCCAAGAGACCCAACTGGTTTCCAAAGCTAGTGTCGTAGCAAGTGCACAGTGTGCTTGTCATCACCAGTATCAAGATTACAAATACAGAAGGAATTAATAACTGTTTCTGAGGAACACTCCACTTCAAGGAATTATTCAGAAGACTTACGTGAGATGATAAAAAGCATATGTATTTTGGGATGTCAATGAATGCTCACATTAACATAGGTACATAGACAGCACGTGGGCTTTGGATAACATACGCAATAAGACAAACAAAACTGTTACATTGACCTCTACGATGTTTAGGTTTTTGCTGACAGTATCACAAGAGATAAACGTTTATCTAGTTTATAGTACTATAATTCATTTATCCTCAAAACATACTATTTACAACATCCTGCAATCCATACATTGTCATGATTCTCATAAAATAAAACTTCACATAAAAAACAATTTTGGACAAGAGGAAGTGTATGACTGTCACAAGCAATCAACATACTTTTCTGCGGAAACTGCAGCGGACGAGAAGCAAAGTAAATTAGCGCCTTCGTAGACTAGCATCAATCAAAACGAAATTCAATTTAGTTAACACCAAAAATGTGCTCGTATTATTCTTGTTCCTTAAGTTTCGAACTGGTTATTTACTGTGCAATATATGCACCTCATTAAATAGATCTAACACATTGAAGTAATGAAATAAATAAACACATATGGCGGTACTTCCAATTTCTAATATCGCTTTTACGGGCTAGTATAAACCAATTTGATTTCTTTGTACTGGCCTCCTCATTGTGAGGTAAAGGTTCCTGATCTTCGGTAAACTTCGGCATAGCTCGTCCCGCCACTTGACTGTCGTAGCTTTGGTTGACTCCAAAAGCAGTGCTCGGACTAATTATGTGGTTTGTAGTATGAGGTGGTTAAGACTGTTACTACTGTGAGTGGAGCTGATCCTTTCACCATCGTCGTCAAAATAAAAGAGATAATAACAATAATAGATATAATTAGTGAAGTTATTCAGACTAACAGACAGAAAAAGAAATCAAGAAAACGTATCAGCAGTTAGCTGATTAAATTTGAAGTTGATATATATATATATACATATATATCAGTAATAATAATAAGTATGGTTAGAGTTGCCAGGAGAGTAAGACGTGAGAGAATGTAAAGAAGTAAAACGACGACCTTAATTGTCTACCACTGAATGGTGTATGGAATTTAAGGGGATAGGCCATTTGGATGCAGTCCTTGTATAACTGCATGATTGTCCAGGCTTCGCTTAAATGCGTCCACACACGGTGCCATAGCTACATCCGCCGGTAAGAAATTCCAGGGACGGCAAACCCGCAGTGATAAGAAGTGGGAGCGCACCTGGGTCCTTGCCCTCTGGTGAGCTGTCCTTCTGGGATTTCCACGAGGAAGCCTATACCTACTCAATGGCAGAACACCTTTGCTTGGGTGATTCTGGTCATTCATTATCTTTTAAGGAGTAATCAGATCCCACTAAACCGATGGTAGCTAAGCGTGAATAGGCCTAATTTCTTCAGCCGTTTATCATGTTTTTTTTGGAGACCAACCGCTCCCCTTTCCGCCCGTCTTTGGACTCTTTCCAAGAGGTTGGCGTCTCTTCTAAGCAGTGTAGATGCGATATATTATTCACTTCCAGGTGTGGTCTTACGCATGTTTTGTATAACCTTAGAAAGAGCTCAGGAGTGAGTGCACCTAACTGTCTATGCGTAAAGTGTATGACCGCATATGCCCTCGCTACGCTTGTGTCCATTTTTTCCGTTAGAACTAGACCTAAGTCGTGTTCCGACGTTGTGCAGGACAAGCTTTCATTGCACAAGGTTTAACTTGCATTCTGCAGTCTGCAGATGTGTAACTTCACTACTTTGCACTTTTCCAGGTTGAAAGTCATGCTACTGGCCACCGCCCAGTCTTCCAGAAGGTTTAGATCTTCCTGCAGTCTATCTGAGTCCTCCGGACACTTTATCGCCCTCCATATCTTTACGTTGTCAGCGTATCGAAGAGCCGCGTAGCTTAGACGGCATGGTAGATCATGGACGAACATCAAAAACATCAGTGGTCCTAGGTTAGAACCCTACGAGACTCCTGACGACAAGCTGTGCCAAGATGACTGGACTCGATTGACCTTGGTGCGAAATTGCCTAATAGCTGGGTAGTCCCTTAACCATGACAGAAGTGGCTCACCTATACCTTCCTTATTTATTTTGTGTAGGAGAAGGCTATGGTGATCTGTTCCGAATGCCTTCTCAAAATCTAGTAAGACAACATGGTCTGGAACATTTATATCCCACTATGTTGTCCAATCGTCCCAAGGTTCGTTACGCAGGATCTGCCTTTCCTGTAAACGTATTGGGCTTCATTGAGTATATTTGAGCTATGTGATTGTCAATAATACTTTCCATTACTTTTGATACCACCAGCAGTAGAGCTACAGGTCTATAACCAGTGGCATTTTTCCTAACCCTCCCACTTGAGGATCGGAAAAATGGTGGCTCTTTTCCACTCCCTTGGCAGTTACCCCCAATCCATTGAGTGTTGGAACAAGTCGCATGAGGACCTACAGAGAGCTTCGGCGCACTGTTTCAGAACAGATGACCTGATGTCTTTACAGCCTGGGGACTTCCCAGGTGTGAGTCGCTGAAGCTTCCCCGTTACATTGCCGGGTTTATTTGGGGAATAGCCACTAGGTCTTCCTCCTGTGAAATAATAGTGCGACCATTTTGGTCCGTACCCGTAATACCCACATTGCTGTTTAGCTGTTTGGCGAGGGCTAAACTGGATATTTCTGCCATCTCAAGATTAGTGAGATATTGACCGTCTGGGCCTACTGAGGCGCACGCCCCTGGTTGGTCGGTTTTCTTTCCGACATGAATCGGTAAAAGTTTTTGGGGTTTGATAGGAGCCTTTTTGGCAAGGTTTGCATGGAATGACCTGTCACTCTTGAATCTCGCATTGTACCGTTTCCTAAGTTCCAAGCATGCGTCGTGGTTGGTCTGACTCTTAGATACACGCCACCTAAACCAAGCCTTCCGCTTAGCTTGCAGAATACGTTGCGTGCCTCTCTTCTGTCATGATGAATTTCTTTTTGGCTGTGCTGTGACTAAAGCAGAGGTATTCGAGATTTCTATATGAATAATCTTTTCTACCACTTCCTAGTGTTCATCCACAGATAGCCCATCCCATGCTAAGGGTCAGTCGGCGTCGGACAAAGGCCCCTGCATTTTAGCTTAGTCCGCTTTGTTATAAGACAGACACGACGGCGTAATGTCTCACTGCAAGTGCTCACGGAGAACGAGATCGAAACCAATGACCGCATAGTCACTACTTCCTAGAGGAGTTATGATATGGACTTTTTCGACGAATAGTTGGTCACTAGTTAGAATGTAGTCTAGTTTCGATGACCTTCCACTGGAGCCTCACCTACTGTCGTCTCCAACATTCTCAGTCAGTCCTGTATTTCGAATAGTTTGCAGTAGATTTTGGCCAAATTTTCCGTCAGCATACCCCGAGCCAGGGTCTACTGATGTAGCATTGAAATCTTGAGCCAAGTCCCGTATCCCTTTGATGGCTCTGAGCAGTAGCTAATTGTGCTGTGCCCCACAGGTGCGTGATCGGTAGATGCCTCCCAGTAAATTCTTGGTTTGGTTTACAATGAAATGACACCATATGGAGTCTGGGAGTTCAATAAGTGGTGGGTCCGTTGCGCGTACACACTTACGTTGCCTGTCAAAGTATATAGCAACACCCCCTCCTTCCTCATTATCTCCGTCTCTTCTGACCAGAGCCATATCACACGTACTGATTCCGTTGTCGGCGATAGTGCGGGGTAGCCGGATTACAGTGAGAATGATTATTTCAAGTTGTAGGTGAGATTGGAGGTCTCTGAGTTCGCCTACTTTTCCTCTCAGCCTCCTCAAATTGCTATATAGGCAGCTGACAGTGATTCTCACAACCTCAGTGTGTTGTGGGGTAGTCGACGTGAAGCTGTCTGCTGGTAGGAGATTTGATGTTGGGATTAGTTGGCTAATTCTGATGAAACCGGCCCGTTGTATGTGCTAGTGTACTTGAAGATTGAACGATCAACTCACGGTTGTTTACTCAAACCCAACTTCCCCATAATTTTCGTGGGTCATCAATCCGACAGTCGTCGTCTCATCGCTGTTCAGAAGGAAGATTAAAAAGCTACCAGAACTAATATCGTGATTTATTGTTACAACATTTATTCCTAGACTCTGTAACAACAGTATTATTGGTTATATGTTGGTGTAAGAATAAGGGATTACTGAGTCGCAAAACAGTGTCTTGGTTTTTGCGTCGGTTAATACGAAGCGTTTCTGAAAATCTTCGGGAGACAGCGTGAGGCCCAGCGTAGCAAGAACTGGATATTGGCGGTTTATGAGACTTGACTGACAGTTTCTGATAGTGTTTGGATAATTTCCGTTCGTCTTTCCTGGTGCCGGCCAAGTCTTCTTTGAACAAACGTTATCTGGAACTTTTCTGGAATTTGATCAAGTTCAATGATGTCTGGGTCAAAGAAGGTAAGAAGCGTCCTGGAAGCAAGCAGGAAAGTAAATGATGCTAAGTTGCTTGTTAATTGTAATGGTATGTATGATGCTCAGCATGATGAGTCTGTGGTTCATGGTTCGCAGTCTAGGGATAATAGGCGTAAATTTGAATCTCGGTGTTTCGACGGAAACCCAGCTGGCTATTTACAGTTTGTAAAGGGGTTCGAAGTCATGTTGAGTAGTTTTTTATAAGATAAAATGAAGGTGATGTATTTGAAGAGGTATTTCACTGGTGTTGCCTCAAGAGTGATACAGTGCTGTATGTTCAATCCCCCCCAACGAAGGATTCTCTGAGGCTACGAGTATACTGCATTAAAAATTCGGAAGACCTACGATACATGTAGGGAAATTATTCGAGGCTGTTAAGGATAATGTTAGTCAACTACAAGAAGACTCCAAGGCCCTCACTGAGTTTTTGGATAATCTGATGACTTACAAGAATGCATTGATTTCGATGAATTGCATGAGTGAACTGAACTCAAGTTCCGCCCTACAGGTAATATCGAGACCCATACATACTAGACTGCAAAGGAAGTGGGTGAAGATAAGCTCCCGTATGGAGGATGAGGGTATCGAGCCAAAATTTGATGATATCCTGAAACTACTAAAAGATAGTGTCAATCGATCTATGAGCACGTTCGCCAGTCTATTCCATCTCACCCCTAGAATAGAGCAGCCTGAGAGCAAAATGTAATCATTGATCACGAAAGGGTCTCAGAGAGGTGGATATCGAGAAGGCTCCATGATGTCTAGTAATGCATATAGATCTAGTGAGTGTAACAGGTTTCGTAGTACATCCTCAACAGATAAGTTGCAAGCTGCAAGAGAAACACGGTTGTGTTTTACACGTTTGCAAGAGGTGCATACAGAAGTGAACTGTGAACCAGTGGGCAAGTTCAGTGATAAGCTAAATGTAAACTCCAGGCCTGACTCCGAATTGTGTGACGATTATGGTGCGGTGAAGAAGTCTGT